AAGCCCGGAACCCAGGCGTGTGCCTTGACCTGATTGAGCAGAGACCTCCTGGTTCACAGGTTGATGCTCAACCACTGAGTCATGCCGGTCGAGCAGACTCTTCAGTTTTGACATGCGTTTGATCTTATATGAGTCAGCTCGAGCTGCCGTAACAGAATTCCACAGACTGGGTGGCTTACACAACACAACACTTGGTCACAGTTCTGGAGGCCAGATGTCCAAGGCCAAGGTGCCAGCGTGGTCACATTTGGTGAGGGCTCTCCTCCTGGCTTGCAGACAGCCACCTCTGCTGTGTCCTTACGTAGCCTTTCTGTGTGTGTGTGTGGAAATAGAGGTGTGTCTTCCTCTTCCTTTAAGGGCATCAATCTTATCAGATGAGGGTCCCACCCTCATGACCTCATTTTACCTTAAGTACCTCCTAACTACCCCATCTCCAAGTACAGTCACACTGGGGGTTATGGCTTCAATGTATGAATCCCGGAGGTCACAATTCAGTTTACAGCTGACCTCAAATACGGGCTGAACATGTTCTACATGCTGGGCACTGGTCTGGGGGCTAGAGATAGAACAAAGTGAACAGTGGGTAGGCCAAAAACTATATCTAGAGAGACATACATAAATGTGTAAGATACAAATATTTACATGCACGTGCAAATACATACACTCCCACAAGAATTGCAAGCAGGGGGAAGTGCTATGAAGGAAAATAAAGCATAGTAAGGGTGGGAGGCAGCACCGAGTAACAAGTGAGGCGTTTTAACAAATGATCAGAAAAGATCTCTAATGTGGTGACATTTAAGCAGATGGAGACAGTAAAATTGCTTACAGTTCAGCCAGTGGAATCCAATGCTTTCGTTCAGGAGTCTGCAAACTTTTCCTATGAAGAACAAGGTGGGGAAGAGTTTTGGCTTCGTGGGCCCTACAGTCTTGGTCTTCATCACAGCTACTCGCTCTATCATTGTATTGCAAAAGCAGCCATAGACAATACAGAAACGAGTGCGTGTAGCTGTGTGCCAATAAAACTTTATTGGTAGACACTGAAATCTGAACATCATGTAACTCGCATGCATCATGAAATATTAGTCTTTGGATTTTTTTCACTTAACAAACTAAAAATGGAAAAGCCATTCTTAGCTTATAGGCTGTGCCAAAACGGGGAGCAAACCAGGTTTGGCTCGCGGGCCTGAGTTTCCTGCCCCCGACTTAAGGACATGCAGCCTTAAGGTGCTTCTCCCAGTTGTGGGATGACAGTGGGTCCACTGTGGAGCCTAGAACACCAGGCCTGGCACACAGTAGGTGCTCTGTATGTACTTGTTGAAGGAGAGAAGGAAGGGAGGGAAGGACAGGAGAAGCAATCGGGGTGTCAGAAGTCCTACAAGCATGAATTCTGGCTTGGAGCCCCAGGCTGACAGTGACCTTGCCTAGCTGTCTCCCCTTGGGCTGCAAGGCCCTTTCCCTCCACTTCCTCAGGGCCTCTGCTAAGAGGTGCTGACCCAGCCTCTGAAATGCCCCCGAGCTCAGAGCCTTCTTTCCAAAGCTGGGAGCAGGCAGCCCTCAGGACCCACTCGATCAAATCTGTGTCCCCCGCCACCTGGAACGCTCCCATTACCCACCGCAGACACCAACTCGGAAAAGGACGCACAGAGCCGTCGGCCCAAAGCCCACTCACGCCCTGTGCCCAGCATAGTGACTCACAGGTCCACTAATTGCATTTCTAACCTGAACTTGGGTCCCCACTCAGAAAAGTCATTTGCAACCCCCTCACAGGGCCCCTGACTGCTCTATTAATCTCCCACTTGTCCCCTCTTGAGTCATCTAATATGACTGCTGGCTAATTAAAACATCAAAGCCCTGATACGGCAGCCCTGCCAGAGGCCTCCTAATGCTGGGTTTCAAGTGTGCACTCGGCACAGCCCGGGGTGGAGAGCGGCACGCCTGGCGCTCGGGCCCCAATGACTCGGCTGATGACCACCCCTCACACATCTGGCACCTCCACAGATGGCCTCTTCTGTTCATCCCGTTAGCTCTGCTCCTGCCACACCTCTTCCTCCTGCCTTACTGGGCTCCCACCCATCTGCCCTCCCACCCTCTCCCTGGGTCCTGGGTCCCACCCCCACACCAGCACCACCTCTGTTTTCCCTCCTCCCCCCGGATTCCAGCTGCTCCTCAGCCTCCGGGGCGTTAATGTGATTGTCCAGAGAGTTTCTAAACTGGCCTAGTGACGCCTGACGTTTAGGGAGGATGTCCAGGTGCCTCCCACATGGGCAAGGGAGGACCGCTTCTTCTCATGGGCACCGATTGTCGGCACCATCAGAGGATTTTGTCGTGACAAAGGCTCGCCCAGGTGTGACTTCCACCACCTGTTCGTCTGCTGGAACAGACAGCAGTGGAGACAGTCCTAGAGGGGTATTAGCATGTCTTTCCGGGCCTTCAGAGGAAGTGCGGTTGTTTGTATGTAGCTTCACAAGGGGACGCAGGTAAAAGAATTTAAAGTTTGGCAGGATGGAAAGTGCCAAAGGGGAACAAGGGAAGAACTCATCCAGGTCCCTCTCCTGCTCCCAGCCGGGCAGTAGTGTAGTTACAGCGATAGTTATAGTCGTAATGCCAGGTGTTGCATTGTGTTAACAGAAGATTGTAGTAAGTAATGGCCAACACTTAGGAGGTAAGCGCCGTCATGCAAGTGAGAGATGATGGTGGTTGGACAGAGGAGCAGATGGACTCTAGAGCTACTTAGAAAACGACAGTGGGTGGGGGTGGGGGGTGGGGTAAGTATCGGAGGTAAAGAGGAAGATGCCCAGGACAGCTCCCCGCTGTGGCTGGCGCAGATGGATGGATGGATGGTGGTGTCCGGCGCTGAGATGGGACCACTGGGGATGACCAGATCTGGCCAGGGCAGGGAGGAGTGGGAGCTCATGAGTCACGGCAGTTTCCATTGGTTCTCTGCTACCGTTCCCTGCTCTGTTCTGGAGCTATCGGTTCACCTGCCTCCTGCTTCCCACTCTAACGTGACGGCATGGATGCTTTAGCACAGAGGTAGCCAGTGGCCAGTGGCCAGAAAGGTGGCTATGATAGGCCACTCACCTCACGACCTTTGCACAGCTGTTCTCTCTGCCTGCAAAGCCCTGCTGCTCCCCCTTCTTTGTCTGGTTAACACCTACTTGTCCGTCAGGTCTTACTTAGAAGCCAAATGCTCTGGGTCAGATGCCTCTTCTATGTGCTTGCACAGACCCCTGTATACTCTCACTGCCACATGTTACTGTACCCATTGCTCTCAATTATAGTGGCTCATTCAGTAGTGATGCCCCTCCCACTGGCTGTGAACTCCATGGGGGCAGAGGTCACATCTGTCTAGTTTGTCACAGTGGCCCTGGCCATTGCTGCCTTGCCTGGTACATAGGAGATACTCACTCAATAACTGTGTGTTGAATGAATGAATGATGAATGAATGAATGATGAATGAATTATGCATAATGGCCAAGAAGCAGGATTGTCAAACAGGAGCAAGGTTTGAGAGTCATACTGCCTGGATTTGACTCCTGGCCCCGGCTTACTAGCTCTGTGATCTTGGACAACTTGGTTAACCACTCTTTGCCTCACTTTTCTCATCTGTGAAATGGGGATGATAAGGTTATTGCTTGGCGCATATGAAGTGCTCATTGAATGGTAGTTTTCAGTAGTAGTCTTTCAGAGTTCTCTGTGATCTCTGTCCTGGACCTAGTCCGTCTAATGGTAATTCACCCAACTCAGGTCCTCCAAGCTGATGTAACGTGCACCCTGCCTTCTTTCTGACTTCGTATCCTTGTCCTCGCCATGACACACATACTCCAGGCACACTGGCCTCTTTGCTGGTCCTTGGAATGTAGCGTACTCATCCCTACCTCAGGACCTTTGCACTTGCCTTTCTCCCCTCCACTTAGTCGTCATCACCTCCTTCTATTTCATATTCTTAACACCACCTGAAATTATACTGTGTGTGTATTCACTTACTATCTCCATTCTCCCACTACAGTGCTCCAGGTCAAGGAGGCTGTCTGACTCTTTGGTGTCCCAGTGCAGCACCTAGCACATCGACGGGGCCCTGCCTCAAGGTCACGGCCCATTGCTCTACTCTTTGGCATGAACGTCACTGAACGTCGCCTCTTCTCCTCCCCTCCCCTGCTCAGCTGTTGCATCAGGGCGTGCCTGTTGCCTCTCCCTTACACTTGCGAGTGGCCGATGCTTGTCAATGCACGGGCACACCTCTTCCGGCAGGTAGACAACTGCTCAGAAACGCCCAAGACAGAATGTGATCCTTTTACGTGTCTGAAATGGAGGGGCCAACATCGGTCAGCCCAGGACTTACCCCTCCTCACCTACTGGGCAGTTTTATTGCAGAGGTGAAGACAAATGGAGAACTGAAGGTGTTCAAGACGGGGGAACGGGAAGTGCAAAGGCCCCGGGACAGGGACATGCTGGGCATCGTCGAGAGGCAGGAACCTGAAATTTGGGGGAAACATTCTATGCTGCAAACCTTTCTAATTTAAACCTCCTGTTTCCCCAGTACCTGCTGGAATTGGTGAATTCGGGCTGTAGCAGGAAGGCCCGGAAAAGTAACCTGACCCAGCCTCCTGTTTGACTCCTCAGCCCGGAGGGCTTTATCCTTCGGAGAAACTGATGGTGTCCTTTCAGTCCTGTATTCATTCAGCAAACTTTCATCGAGGCCCAGCTCAATGCCAAGCCCTGTGCTAGGCACCAGGGGGCTCCTGACCACCTTTGCGTTCCTGACTCTCCTCCCCAGAACAGAACCCCAAAGGCTCTTCTGAGGCACCTCCTTCTGCAGAGGTGGAGGCGCCAGGCTCCCAGCCACCTGTCACGTGTCAGCCAGGGAGAGTCGAACCCCTTCTCTGTGCAGACAGCTGGTAACTCGGAGCAGATTCGGGAGGAGCGGTGCCGCTCCGTCCCAGCAGAGACCATTTCCCAGGGCCCTCCTGCCTGACGTCCCATCTTCATTCTCCCCTCAGGCCCCTGCCTCGGGAAGACAGTCCCCCCCAAAGAACGGCAGCCCCTCCAAGTGCCCCCGCTTCCTCAAGGTCAAGAACTGGGAGACTGACGTGGTTCTCACGGACACCCTCCACCTTAAGAGCACGTTGGTGAGTAGCGCAGGGGGGTGTAGCCGGGATCTATCCACCTCGGCACTGGCCACATCTGGGACCGGATGCTTCTCTGTGGTGGGGACTGCCCTGTGTACCTGGCAAGATCGGAAGACACTTTTGGTTGTCACAGCCTCAGAGGCTGCCGGCATCTAGTGTATTGCAGGCCGCTCACGAGGTGATGGAAGAGGCTCCCCCTCTCATGGGGCGTGGCCATAAAGTCCTATTGCAAGGGGTGTGACTAGAGGGAGGGGAACAGTCCGGGCTATTTCCTGCAATCAGCGCACCATAGACGTGTTCAGATAAGCCACGGTGGCTCCTTGGGAGTCAGTACCGAGGGAAGGCCAGTCACACAGCCGCTCTTTCCCTTGTTGAGTTGAACAAACATTTTCAGAACCTTAAAATGCTGCTTATCATCCCTTGCCTGGGCTGATGACCACATCCAACAGTGATTTGAAGCTGGTGCTCGAGACACCCCCCTGGGGAATTAAAGGCCAGGTCAACACCACCGTGAATATCCCATGCAGGTCTGTGGCCCAGTACCTGCCACCTCTGGGCAGAACCGAGTGATGGCCCAAATCTCTCTTTTCCGTCCAGGAAACGGGATGCAGCGAGCGCATCTGTATGGGCTCCGTCATGCAGCCTTCTCAGCAGATACGGAGGCCTGAGGACGTCCGCACTAAAGAGCAGCTCTTCCCTCTCGCCAAAGAGTTCATTGATCAGTACTACTCGTCCATTAAAAGGCAAGTTCACGTACACAGAGGTCGGAATTTGGTGGCCCAGGAGCCAGATCTAGCCCCCAGAAATGTTTCTGTTTGGCCTGCAAAGTGCTGCTTACATTTGAAACATTTCAAGCAATTCCATGGCTGGATATGTAGCCTAAAGAAACTCTCACACTTTTGCACAGAAGGCATCCATAAAAATGTTTACCGAAACACTGTTCGAATAGAGAAAAAATTAAAATTAAAGAGCCAGCTGGAAACCACCTCAACAGCATCGACAGGAGAATCTATAAATAAAATGCATTATTTTCCATAATGAAATACTATACAGCTGTAAAAAATGAATGGGTTAGCACTCCATTTGCTCATGGGAATGAAGCTCACAAATAACTTGGAGTGAAAGAAGGAAAGGACAGGTGTAAAAGGGTACATTCAGGTCATCACCATTTATATAAACATTTTAAACTTGCAGAACAATACTGTACATGATTCAGGGGCTCTCTGTATACGTAGACAGAAGTGTAAGCAAAAGCTTGAGAATGTAGATGCCACATGCAAAATAGCAGTCACTTCTGGGAAGAAGGTGGGCCATTATGGGGAAGTAGTCCCCAAGGATTGATATTAGTCCTTATTTACTTATTAATTCTTAGGCTTGGGGCGTGGGTGTTCATTGTATTATTCTCTATACCTTTTCATAAGTCTGACATTTTTCATAATAATTTTTTTGTACTTTCTAAAATTTAATTCACTGCCATCATTTAAAATGAGAAGAGTTTTCTTTAAAACTCAGATTTCCAGTTTCTTCGAAAGATCTACAGCCGTGGGCCCCCCTTGCTCTCAGGACGACAGCTGGCTGGAACAGAGCGGTGGCTGTCCCCTTCGGGCCAGGCATGGACCCCACCCAGCCAGTTCAGTCACTGCTGGACCTTTGTGGGCACTTTAGTTTGCAGCCTCTACTTTGTGCTTGAACATTGTGTCCAGAAATCAACTCTGACTTTCTGTGACTTCTGGCCTCCTGTCACAGCTCCCTCCTTTCACCAACCTCTAATGTTGGAGAGAAGTGACGCTCCTCCCTCCCTCCCCTCCTTACTCAGATTTGGCTCCAAAGCCCACATGGAGAGGCTGGAAGAGGTGAACAAGGAGATAGAAACCACCAGCACCTACCAGCTCAAAGACACAGAGCTCATCTATGGGGCCAAGCACGCCTGGAGGAATGCCTCCCGCTGCGTCGGCAGGATCCAGTGGTCCAAGCTGCAGGTAGGTGGTGAGGCTTAGCTGCCTTGAGGAGCCCTTTGGTGGAGAGGGTGGTAGGTGCAGGGGTTAGCTTTAAAATGGCTCAGCTGGAGGCCAAGGTGAAGTACCACAGATGGTCGTCATGGGGTCCCAGATTCTCAGATCATGGCCAAATCTAGTCATGTCTCATGACGATAGCCAACACAGTGTTTAAAATGAATTTGCATATCTCTTGTTAAGGCTTATGTACTCCAGTTGACCACAGACCCCAACACTCCCTTTTGTCTTGCACCTACTCTCTGCTTATTGATGTTATCTGCCTGCTCACCAAAAACATCAGATTCTGTGTCCCTTGGTATGACTTTTCTCTGGGGAATAGTTTCAAGATGGAAGTAGATTAGTTTTCGAGCTCAGGGGTTTCTTCTTTGTTTTTTTGTTTGTTTGTTTGTTTTGTTTTGTTTTGTTTTGTTTTTGATCCCTAATAACCTACTAAAAGTCTCTCCCCTCCTCACCATCCCTTTCCTATATCACTTACACTCCATGCCTCCGTTTAGGGATTTTTCTGGTTTGATGGGGTGGTGAGGTGCTCACTATTCCAATGGGGTAGCAGCTGGAGTGGGCTCTGGGCTCTCCTCCAATGGGAAGGCTGCCTGGGGGAGCTGAGGAGGGAAGGAGGAGGCCATCCGTCCCACAATGCACCTCTTCCAGGTGTTTGATGCCCGCGACTGCACCACGGCTCATGGGATGTTCAACTACATTTGCAACCACATCAAGTATGCCACCAACAAAGGGAACCTCAGGTGAGCTGACCGCCTGGGGAAGGGGCGTCCCCCCAGCGCTGACCGTTGGGTCTGGAATTGGCTCAACCGCCAGGGAAATCCTCCCCGCCTCCTCTCGGGGAGATGCACCAGGCTGGGAGCGGTGGCCTGGCATCCTTGTTCCACCGCCATGTCCCTTCTCTTCTGGGAAAAATAGAATTCCAAGTGGTTTCCAAAGCTACAGCAGCCAAAATCACTTTTAACCCACGGTTCCGTGTCACCATGGAGGGGGCAGGAAGGGATGTTTCTCATTCCCAGGAGTAGGAAAACCCCATTGTTTGTGGTGACCTGCTTCTACCGGCTCCTGCTCTTGTCTGGGGCACCCTGAGAACCCCCCTTTGGTTGGAAAGGCAATTAATGTGTCTTCCCACTGCTGTGGGGATGACTCCGTCAGGTTCCACTAAGCCAGCTCCTCTTGCCCCGTATGAGGAACAAAGCCACCAGGAGCAGGCCAAGGCGGAAGGCACCTGTGTGGGCTGGTGGCTTTCACCTGGCAAGTTGCAGCTGGGAAGGAGCAGCTGGAAGGGAGCAGCTGGGGCCCCGCAGATGGGTGGTTATACTTGTTCGTCCTTCCCTGGCATCTGTTCCCAGCTCCTGAGGACCAGCCCATCTCAAAGCTGCTGCAGGGATATTCCCTAAAGCATCTGGGCTGCACTGAGCTCATCCCCAAAGTGGCCTGTTGGCATGAAGCACGGGTTTCCTTGTATGTGTCCCTTCCTTGAGAAGGAAAGTGCTTGCCAGCTGAGCCTCCGTCGGGGAAGGCCTGTAAGCTGCACCCCGGGCCTGCATGGGGAGGTAGTACAGTTGACCGTTGAACCAGTACAGGTTTCACTGCACAGGCCCACTTAGATGCAGATTTTTTTCAAGAAATGCAGTAAATGTGTTTTCTCTTTTAATTTTCATAATAACATTTGCTCTTCTCTAGCTAACTCTATTTATAAGAATACAGTATGTAGCCCAGCCAGTGTGGCTCAACGGTTGAGTGCTCATCTATGAACCAGGAGGTCATGGTTCGATTCCCACTCAGGACACATGCCTGGGTGGTTGGCTCCATCCCCAGTAGGGAGCGTGCAGGAGGCAGCTGATCAATGATTCTCTCTCATCATTGATCTTTGTATCTCTCTCTCCCTCTCCCTTCCTCTCTGAAATGAATAAAAATATTTTTTAAAAAAGAATACAGTATATCATACATGTAACCTACAAAAATGTGTTAACTGGCTATTTATGTTATCGGTAAGGCTTCCAGTAACGGTAGGCTAAGTTCTGGGGGGAAGTCAGAAGTTAGCTGTGGATTTTCAGCTGCATTGGGGGGTCACTGTCCCTGAACCCTGCATTGTTCAAGGGGCAACTGTATATCTTTTGACTAAAAGACCTCCCCCTTCAGAGAAAATCCGGCACATCCTGAGCGTTGAAGGAGGGCTTGGTTGAGATCTCAGCCTCACAGAGCTGTGGGCTGTTTTGGTAGTTTTCAAATGCTGTTGTGACTATAGGGCGGGGGGGGGGGGGGGCGGTGTCACAGACCAGGCAGTGCACCTGCACTTTGGGGAGTCTTCTATTAAAGACAATATTCAGCTGATTCTTTTTTTAATACGTTTTAAAACCACACATCTGAACACATACATAAGAGCATGTATGCTATGTATAGAAATCATCTAAAGGTAGAAAAGAAAGGCAAGCAAAGTAACAGGAGGGAGGAGAGAGAGAGGTAACTTACACAGCGCGGGGTTTTCGACCTGCCACTGATTACGATTAGGCTTCTAAGAGGTGGGGTCTGAGAGAGAGAAATGTGTTCTATTTCCGCCGTTGGTCTGGTGCCTGCACACAGTGTCTCATCCCACTGTGTGTGACTCTGCTGTTTCTAAACACACTGTTTAAATATATAAATTACACAAACACCCTGCAACTGGTGCTCAACCAAAGGAACGGCTATGTGTTTTACTGCTGGAGGGCAAACGGATGGACTGACTTGCCCTGTGTTGATTCCCCAATATGGCACCTTTGCTAAGAGATTTTTAAGAGTGCCTGTGGTTCTTTGTGACTTTCACTTTCAGCCGCCCCCAACCTGGACTCACCGCCAGGTGCATTGCACCATCGCTGCAGGGTTAAAGGCAGTGTTGTCCTGTGCGGACAGTCAGACCTCAGTTGGCTCAGGTAGAGGCCTTGGGAGCCAGATGGGGCAGGGATGTTATGTGGGGAAAGCGGATTTGAGTCAGGGCTTGGATTTGGAAGCATGACAGCAGAGAGGGGTTCCAGCCGAGGGGGCGGAGTTCCAGGAGCAGGATGTGGACGGGAGAAGGGCTATGAGCGATGGGTTGGACCCACAGTGTGACTCCCATGCCAGCACAAGCCATCGCTTGGGATTCAGTCCAGTGAGGGGACCAATGGATCCGGGTGGCAGGAACTGGCGTGAGACAACATTGAACCACATCGTGAAAAGTTATTCTCCTTTTAATGTTTATGAATCCCTCTGCTGCTGCTAAGGAGAAAGTCTCAGTTTTGTGCTAACCCATCGTTAACGCCCCTCTAACACCGCTTCTAACAAACAAAGAGCGGGGCTCAGCTAGGTGCTTCAGCTGGCAACAGCTACAACTCAATAACAGTACAGTCTCATCGTTGCCTAGCTAGGCAGGCGAGGTCAGTGGCAATCTATCGTTTCAGATTAATACATGGAACACAATGGAAGTTGGAATCTTTTTTAGTCATAAGTCTGCAGACTTTGGCCTGGAATGGGTTGGACGAGAATTAACAACGGCAATAATTACGGTAGGAGAAAGACTAGAAGTAGACATTGATAGTGCATTCTTTTTAAGATTGTGTTTTTTTTTTTAATATATATTTTTTATTTATTTTAGAGAGGGAGAGGGAGAGAGAGATAGAAACATCAATGATGAGAAAGAATCACTGACAGGCTGCCCTCTGCACACCCCACACCAGGGATCGAGCCCACACCCAGGCATGTGCCCTGACCGGGAATCGAACCTTGACCTTCTGGTTCATAGATAGAAGCTCCACCACTGAGCCATGCCAGCCGGGCGATGGTTCATTCTTTTTATTATTATTACTAGAGGCCTGTTGCACGAAGAGATTCGTGCAATAGGCCTTCCCTTCCCTTGGCTGTTGGCACCGGTTTGCCTCTGGCACCCGGGGCCCAGGCCTTCGCTCTGGCCGGGCTCCAGCCAAAGCCGGCCCTGGAGCCATCCGGCTTCACTGCTCCAGCCCCGGAGCCATCCGGCTTCGCTCCGCCACTTGGAGCCTACGTATGCAAATTAAACGCCATCTTTGTTGGGTTGATTTGCATACTCTCCTGATTGGCTGGTTAGCGTTGCAAAGGTACGGTCAGTTTACATGTTTGTCTATTATTAGGTACAGTTCATATATTTTTATTTATTTCAGAGAGGAAGGGAGAGGGAGAGAGAGAGAGAAACATCAACGATGAGAGAGAATCATTGATCAGCTGCCTCCTGCATGCCCCCTACTGGGGACTGAGCCCTCAACCCGGGCATGTGCCCCTGACTGGAACTGAACCCAGGACCCTTCAGTCCCCCAACACTCTATCCCCTGAGCCAAACCAGCCAGGGCTGATGGTGCATTCTTAAAGGGAAGCGGGGCCTGATGCTCTTTCCCTGGCGATTACCTGCTGCTAAAGGACTCCCTGGGAAACGCCCACGTCAAGATGGTTTGAAAGTGCCATTTGAGAAGCATTCCTTTTCCTTCAGCAAGCCGGCACGGGCCCCCCGTTCCACACTTCCTCAGACACGGGGAGGTACAGGGCAAGGCCCCTTCCTCCCGGCAGCTGCTCCCTGGGCCTGGGGACCTGGGCACAGATGGAAAGATGGAATCCACCCTGAGCCTCATGCACTGGGTGACACCTTTTCCAGGGTGTCCCCAAAGTGCAAGCCCCACCCTGACACCAGGTGTCCCCTTCTGTCCCCCACAGGTCCGCCATCACCATATTTCCCCAGAGGATCGACAGCAAGCACGATTTCCGAGTCTGGAACTCCCAGCTTATCCGCTATGCTGGCTACAAGCAGCCTGATGGCTCCATCCTGGGGGACCCAGCCAATGTGGAGTTCACAGAGGTGCGTGCCCCCCAGTCCATGCCCACCTGGGCTCTCATCTCCCCAGACTGTTTCTATTGACAGACTTTTCTTATTTTGATGTTATCCTCATACGGAGAGCAGCAAATGAACTACTGCTTATTCTTTCCCAAACCTCCTTCTCTGGCTGCCCCCAGAGAGAACCAGCTGGTTCTCTTACAGGTGGTCAGTTGGTCATTTTCATGCTATTACCTTGCCTGACCCTCATGATGGTAACCATACTCCCATTTCACAGGTGGGTAGACTGAGTCTCACCAAGGCCAAATGAACTATCCAAGGCAATGAATGAACAGAGAGAAAGCTAGAAATACAGTCCAAATCTCCTGCCTCCCACCTGGAGGAGAGGAGCTGACATATGGAAACCATTGCCTGCATCCACCTTTTCTGAGTTGGGTAATATGTCAGATTCATATCATTCATTCATTCATTCATTCAACAACTATTCAACCCACACAACCCTCGTTGGATGGGCTGGACTCTCCATGGTACCAGCACAGACACTATTGCTGACAGCCCAAGTCAACTCATAAAACACAGAAACACAAACACCACCATCCTAGGCTCCTTCCAGGTGAGGCAGACAGCACAGCTGAGGCACAGCAGCTTACAGCGTCTGTGCCCATAGCAGAAACCACAGGCAGACGCCATGCCTGCCATGACCTCAGGCACACAGGCCTGGTACCCCCTTTTCTTAATCACCCAGTCATCCCAGTTGAACGTCATCTTGTCCTTTCCTCAAACCCCCCTCAAACTCCCCCCAGTATCTCCCCCAAGAGGATCTGGCCAGGCAGGGCCACTGAACTCCCTCAGTTGCTGCTGACGGCCTTTGCATCCGGCTTTCCTGATTAGGTGCTACTCTCCTAAGGAAGGGGCAGTAACCAGGGCGACCAGGAGTGGCACCTGTGCCGATTTAGACTCAGCCAGACTCTCTGCTCCACTTGGCTGCGAGCTGAGTGTAGAGTTGGCTGACCTTGTCCCCGTGGCCACCAGAACACAGACACCAGGGCCTCTTCCTCTTCTTCTGTTTCCAGAAACCTCGCTGACAGGACATGTTCTTTTAAGTGCATCATTTCATGCTCCTTCTTGGTACGAACAGGGCAGAAAGAATCACCCAAACATAACCACGGAGCTGTATCTTTTGAAACCCTCTCCCCCTGAGCTGTCTAATACAGCAGCTGCTGGTCACACATGGCTCGTGAGCACACAGTCTGCATACACACCAGATCACCAAGACAGAAACCAAAGAGGGAGGGTGGGGAATATCTTATTAATAAGTTCTTATCTCGAGTATTGAAAATGTTATAGTGGGTAATATTGGGCTAACCTATTTATTATACTTATTAATAAAGTAATATACTTATTGAGTTAATAGATATAATTATGTTAAATAGCTTTAAATGTTAATAATTTATTTAAAATTTATTATCTATAATAAAAGCGTAATATGCTAATTAGACCGGACAGCCGAACGACCTTCCGGATGACCTTCCAGATGAAGCCGGGGCTGCGAGGGCCGAGCCCCTTGAACGAATCTCATGCATCGGGCCTCTAGTTAACAAATAAATGATATCTAATACATTTGATTACGTTATATACTACATGTTATAGACTCCCTCCCCAGTGGGCAGGGAAGACCCAGAAAACATAAAACTGGTTTCTGTCTCTGTGGCCTGGTATTTTACACTTATGGCACTTAGGGTCTCGGTTCGAACCCACCACATTTCGAGTGCTCAAAGCCTGGTGCTGGGCACAGTTTTACCCTCTGTCTGTGGGCCCACGAGAAGCGGTGCTGGTTACGTGGTGATGTCGGGGAGACCTTGACAAAGGAGGCGCGTGGCCCGGCCCCTCCGGAGGAACGGGCTGCTGGGGGGTAGCGCTTGGGCTCTGCCCCTGCCCAGTGCCGTGTGTTGGGAGGGTCTGGGGGCCCGAGCCGGGGCCTGACCAGCGGGTCTGCTTGCAGATCTGCATCCTGCAGGGCTGGAAGCCCCCGAGAGGCCGCTTCGACGTCCTGCCACTCCTGCTCCAGGCCAATGGCAATGACCCCGAGCTCTTCCAGATCCCCCCAGAGCTGGTGCTGGAAGTGCCCATCAGGCACCCCAAGTAAGAGGGCCGGCATGGAGTGGGTGAGGGTGAGTGGGTTTCCCCAGTGCCCCTCTGCCCGTTCCTGGACCCCCTGGCTCGCCCTCTCCAGCCCAACACAGGCTGAAAGGGGCTCTTGATTCCAGTCCTCACCCTGGGACCTGGGCACAGAATCAGTATTTCCTCCTTGACCAGCCGGGGAACTGCCACCTTTTCTGAATCATAATCTCCCTTCTTACCCCATTCCTAAGCTACCGATGCGGACCTGCCCTTTCCCAGCCGGAGGATCAGAAAGCAGGAGAACCTGCTATCCTGTTGGGGGCTCAGATGTTAAACAGAGGGAACTGTTTTAAACTCTGTGACTTGAGGGGAGTCACGTCCGAAAGGAATTTGGAGTGAAGGAAATCCACAGGGGCCTTGGGGGCAGAACGGAGGCGGCACCAAAAGACTCAGTAATCAAGATAAATAATATTCTAATGCAGTATTTCTTAAAAATCAGAAATAGCCCGGCTGGCATGGCTCAGTGGTTGAGCGTCGACCTATGAACTATGAACCGGTTCGATTCCCGGTCAGGGCACATGCCTGGGTTGCAGGCCCGATCCCCAGTGTGGGGCGTGCAGGAGGCAGCCAATCGATGATTCTCTCATCATTGATGTTTCTCTCTCTCTCTCCCTCTCCCTTCCTCTCTGAAATCAATAAATATATTAAATAAATATATTTTTAAAAAGAAAGAAAAATAAAAAATAATTTTAAAAAATTCCTGTGCTGTACAGTGTGTCAGCATTTTAAATAAATACAGGATCCAGTTCAGGGCTGAGACTAGAGAGAGGCAAACCAGGTGAGTCATGTGAGTGCAGCGTGGAATCCTCTCTCTCTCTCTCTCTCTCTCTCTCTCTATATATATATATATATATATATATATATATATATATATATATTTATATATATATATATATATATAAAACATTTCCGCAACCCTTGAGCGGAATCAAACCCGGGACCTTTCAGCCCACAGGCAGATGTTCTATCCACTGAGCCAAACCGGCTAGGGCTGGAATCCTGTCTTTATTTAAAGTTTTGATCTTACCCAAATAACTTCATTCCAATAACATGCTGCAATAGAAATTGTATGGTGCCTAGAGGCATGAGATCACCTCACCCGTACCCAGATTGGGCATCAGGGAAGGCTTCCTAAAAGAGCAAACAGCATTTTAGCTGAGAATTAAAGTGCAAACAAGAGCTGGACAGACACAGAGGAGAAGAGATCCCAGGAGGAAAAAGCGGTTGTGCAAAGGCCCTGGGTAGGAGGGAACTCGCTTCCTCCAGGACTAACTTGCAGAGTGGGCTTAGCGGATAAACAGCAGCCCGAGCAGTGGTTTCCAGGCCTGGATATCCCTGCACACCACCTGGGAAACATGGTAAGATGCATATTCTCGGGCCCCAGCTCTGGAACCTGTGATTCTCCAGCTCTGAAGCAGAGCCCAGGAATCTGGTTCTGACATGGCCCCCGTCAGTCGCTGGCATCGCAGCATCCCCAGACTCAGCCTATCCCACCCTCTGTCTGCCCGAGACTCCCGCCCCGTGGTGAGCTGGGCTGTGTCCTTCTCCGCAGGTTTGAGTGGTTCAAGGACCTGGGGCTGAAGTGGTACGGCCTCCCCGCTGTGTCCAACATGCTGCTGGAGATTGGCGGCCTGGAGTTCAGCGCCTGTCCCTTCAGCGGCTGGTACATGGGCACGGAGATTGGCGTCCGCGACTACTGTGACAACTCTCGGTACAACATCCTGGAGGTGAGGTCCCTCCTTAGTCACCAGGCAGAAGGGCTGGGCTCAGCAGTGCTTCCCCACAGCCAGGCTTTGGGGCTTCGAAACTGGAAACAGGTGACAGCAGAACCTGCAATCCCAGTGCGGCATCCGTGGCACTAACTGTGTACGGACTGGGTGCTAGGCGGTGTTCAAAGCGCATTGCATGTATAACATGCTCATTTAATCCTCACCACAACCTCCAGGTTAAAAAAAAAAAAAACCCTCTCACCGATGAGAAAATCAAGGCCTTTGCAGGGATGAAATGACAAGCTCGAGGTCGTGCCACTAGGAAGTGCAGAGCTGGGATGCAACCCCAGTCTGGTTTTGTGGTCCAAGTTCATCACCACGCTGCTACACTGCCTCCCGGTGTCAAACTCTGTGAGAAGGGTTTGAGAATGATGGGTGAACTTGGGACTTTTTTTGTCTCTTTTCTGGAAAACCAGGCTGGAGGAGAGTCCATGGTTTTCCACTAAACACATTTCTCGGTGGAGGTCTGATTTCCTCCCTGGCTGAGTCACCCTCATCTGCTGAAAAGTGCCGGGCAGAGAGCTTCCTGGGGCCCAGCTCTGGTGAAAGCTCAGGATTGCCGTGGTTTTGTCAGCAAACGTTGTTCCTGACAACAGTCTGCTGTCGCTGGCCTTGTTTCAAAATAGGCCCCTGAGAAGCAGAGAGCTGAAGTGCTGGCCTGTGTCACACAGCAACTAAGGTGGAGTCAGGATTAGACCTCAGAGCCAGGCATTGGGTGTCTGTGGCTGAAATCCGTCGGTGTTCACATGGACGGCCCTTGAGGGCATTAGGCCACGTGAGCTCAGTCAGACAGACAACGACAAAGGCGGTGTGATCTCGCTTCTGTGTGGATTCTGCTCTCTGGTGAGTTAGAATGGTGGCTGTGGGGGTGGGAATTGGGGAGATGTTTTAGTCGAACAGGTAAATAATTTCTGGAAATCTAAAGCACAGCATCGAGATTATAATCAACAACACTCTAGTATAAACTTCAAAGTTTCTAAGAGACTAGATCTTAATTGTTCTCACCACAATAATTACTTACAGATGTTAACTAATGCTACAGTGGTAATCATATTGCAATATATAACTGTACCCAACCAACACCTTGAACTTTGTACACCTTGAATGTGCACAACATCATATGTCAGTTCTATCTCACTTTTTAAAAAAAACTCCATGGTTGTTCTCCTGGAAGACAGAAGCCAAGTCCTCAGCCTTGCCGTCCACTGGAACTACCAGGGTAGCACAGCGATGCCCGAGACCCCACCCCCAGGATTTGGATGGAATTGCTCTACAGGGGGGGAGGGCATCAGCATTTTTCATATCTCCCTAGAACAGTGGTCGGCAAACTGCAGCTCGCAAGCCACATGCGGCTCTTTGGCCCCTTGAGTGTGGCTCTTCCACAAAATACAGACTTCTGCGCATGGGCCACAAAGTTTCAATCGCACTGTACGTGTGCGCCTGAACATGGTATTTGTGGAAGAGCCACACTCAAGGGGCCAAAGAGCCGCATGTGGCTCGCGAGCCGCAGTTTGACGACCACTGCCCTAGAAGATTCTACTGGGGCAGCCACCGATCTGTACAGACTTCTGGCAAGAAAGGAAAAGACAGTTTAGTTAACGTTCATAGAGATGCCTTGAGTCACATTTGGGGATTTTTTTTTTAAGTTGTATAGGTGTGTTTTTTTCCTGCAACTAATTTCTCTTTTGTTAACCAAAATAATGCTGTAGAAGTAACAGTAGCAGCATGACTGGCTAGACACCTCTCCTCTTTTGTATAATAACTCGAGCTTTATATGTACTTATGTAAAGCAGCAAATTCTTTACTGCCTGCATTTGTGTCGCTGCCCAAAGGCCCCAAGCAGAACCTAACGCTTCAGCCCCAAAGAGTGAATCAATAAGTCCGCCTCCATGATCTTGCTTGCATTTCGACTGCATCGAGTAGTCACTGGGAAACTTAAATGAGACTCCCTCCCGCCCCTGCCTCCAGTTCCAGCTGCCACTCTGTACAGAGGTTGACAGCTGAGGCTGGGAAGCGATTTACCCAAAGCTGAGAAATTGTCGCATTCTAGCCCCATAATGAGACCCGGGTTCCCACGAGTGACTAGAATTGACAGAGTAAGAGAAAAGCTAGGCTCTAATTAGTGCATTTGCTATTGGGTCTTCCTCACCCTTGACATCAGCTCCTGCTTCAGCTGTAACAAACAGCAGGGGTTGTTTTTTGCCAGAGACGCCGGCTGGTTGGGGAGCAGCTCCCAGGTTCTGGGCAGTACGCATCTCCCTGGGCTCCAGCTCTGAGGCCAACTGGCTCTACAGAAGTCGAGCAAATCCAGGCACCTCTCTGAACCTCAGTTTCCCCATCTGTCAGATGGAGTCAGTCAAGCTCAAAACGTCCATGGTCTAGATTACGAGTAGTGGCCACTCCAGGGGTGGAGCAGGTTGGGTGGAGAGCTTTTCCCACTAAGAAGTAGACAATGCCACTCCCAGGCCCACATCTCTGATTAAAACCCTGCGAAGACCCTCCTCGTTACATTTGGAATAAAAATCCCGGCTCCGTGGCACATCCTTCAAGATCCTGCCCTTCTCACTAACTCCCGCGGCTCCCCACCCTCCGCGTGCACTGCCCTTCTTTCTGTATCTCAGATGCTGTGAGTCTGAACCTCCTCGGGGGCTTTGCACGTGCTGTCTCTGCCGAGACCCTCGCCTCCCTCCGTCTGCACATGCCTTGCTTTTCCTCCTCGTTGGGGTCTCACCGGGTGTGCCCCCTCCACGTGGGCCTTTCCTGACTAGCGTGGTTCAGTGAACCCTGCCCCATATCCCTCCTCGTCCCATATCCTCATCTTATTTTCTCCGTAGGAATTAGCACTGATCACAATATAAACTGTTCTCTCCCACTACAAGTTCCACTCAGTAATAAGTGGCCAGCCACGTCTCTAGTTTCCCACCACCGGTAGGTCCTCGGTAAGATATCTTCAGAGGGAGTGACTCGCTCTGCCAGTGAGCTGACTGATAGTTAAGACGTTCATTCATGACACGAGCTAGCCCTTCCCCTCCTTTGCCTGAAGCGTCCCAGCCCGAGAGTCTGTGCTCCCTTCTTCTTGCAGGAAGTGGCCAAGAAGATGAACTTGGACACGAGGAAGACGTCCTCCCTGTGGAAGGACCAGGCGCTGGTGGAGATCAACATTGCCGTTCTCTACAGCTTCCAGGTAGTGCTGGGGTCCCGGCCGTCAAGCCTCAGGGAGGAACTGAACCTTTCAGAGCCTTGGAGCAAAAAGCCCAAGAGCCCTAGCTGCCAGGAACCACCTTTGGGGAGATCTGTCCACCAGCGAGGTCAACCGCCCATCATGCATGCCTGCCTCTCCATGTTGATCTTGAGTGTGGACGTTTGAGGAAGAGATGACCAGTAGGGGGGGTTGTGACTTGTCACCTGTGGTTTTTCAGAATTGAGATGTCAGGTATCGTCCGTGTGTTGCTTAGGGACGCAGACTATCAGCTGACACAGGATTTTGTATCCCCACCATAAATGGAGAGCCAAGATCAGTTGCCTTAAATAGAAGAGAATTGTTAGTTTAAAGAAATAAACAAATACAAGGACTAGCAAAACGGAGTTGTTCCATTCTAGCTACATAAGAGGTTCGTTTGAGAAAGGGTAGGGGAGGAGAAAGGAAGACTCGCTAGAGAGGCCTGTTAGCAGCAAACGGAGACTTTCTCCCGGGTACAGTCAGAAGGAGAAATGCAGAGAAGTATTGGGCACTAAACCATCTCCAGGACCTGTCCTTCGGGAAACGCCACTCTGGGAGAATCCGGAAACACCCCGGCTCTCTTACCTCCTGACTCCTGTCCCCTCTCCACCCACAGAGTGACAAAGTGACCATCGTCGACCACCACTCGGCCACCGAGTCCTTCATTAAGCACATGGAGAACGAATACCGCTGCCGGGGGGGCTGTCCGGCAGACTGGGTGTGGATCGTGCCCCCCATGTCTGGCAGCATCACCCCTGTCTTCCACCAGGAGATGCTCAACTACCGGCTCACCCCCTCCTTCGAATACCAGGTCCTGCCCCTCCCTGCCTCTTCGCGCTAAGCCTTCGGTAGCCTGTGTGTGTGATGCTGAGAGCACGTCTCAGTTCAGACTAGCACTTTGGACACTCAGGTGCTCAGTAGCCATGCTTGGTTAGCGGCTACCATATTGGACAACGCAGCTCTAGCAGAGAGATTCCTGGAGACTAAATGAGTCGTCTGGGGTCTCAAGGAAAGTCTTTGGGAGGGACTGAGGGCTGAGTGGGAAGGTCTAGCACAGTGGTTCTCAACCTTCTGGCCCTTTAAATATAGTTCCTCATGTTGTGATCCAACCATAAAATTATTTTCGTTGCTACTTCATAACTGTAATGTTGCTACTGTTATGAATCATCATGTAAATATCTGATATGCAGGATGGTCTTAGGCGACCCCTGTGAAAGGGTCGTTCGACCGCCAAAGGGGTCGTGACCCACAGGTTGAGAACCGCTGGTCTAGCAGGGCAGTGCAGAACGGCTGGGCCAGCTGCTCTGTGCCAGGACCCCTGTGGTCATCACTCGCAGAATCACTCCCTTCAAGGCTGCGGGTTAGGCATGGCTGGGCAGCCACAGCCCCCAGGATCCTGAGTACCTTCCAGGGGAGCCAGGTTCCCTCACCACAGTAACCGCAGTAACCGCAGTCCTTTCTTCCCAGCCGGACCCTTGGAACACCCACCTCTGGAAAGGCACCAACGGGACCCCCACCAAGCGGCGAGCCATCGGCTTCAAGAAGCTGGCAGAGTAAGTCTCCTGCAGTAGGTGGGGGGTGGATGTGCCCCGAAACTTGGAGAGCCCCCCAAAAGGAAGCCAGGCAGCTAGTCATGCCTCTGACTAGCGCGATAAGATTTCTCTACTTTCTCTCGCCCCCTCGTGCCTTCTTTGCCTCAGAGTCTGGGATGTAAATGTCGCCACAGTTCTTCTCCCTCCCGATTTTACTTTCCTCACCCAGTTTTATAAATTCTTTTCCTGGAGGCAGTGGTGTGTTGGTAAAGCAGCTTTCCTGATAATAATATTAAAAGTAAAAATAATAGTAGATTTGTAATGTTGGCCAATTGCCATAGTGTAAATACTCCCATTATGGCCAGTTTTAAGCTACCAACAGGAAGTCACTGAACCCGTAGTAGAGAGGAGCTGGGATGAGCTGGGTCCAGAACATCACTGCCAACAGTGCTCTTGTCCAGGGCTGAACTCTAATTTCATTCATTCATTCATTCATTCGGCCCACAAATGGATACTGAGAGCCTACTCCCTGCCAGGCACTGTACTAGGCTCTCGGGAAGCCATCATTAGCCAGGCAAATGTGGTCCCTGCCCTCTTGAAGCTCACAGCCATTCATCTGTCAGAGAACCACACAAATACAGTCAGCACTTCAGGTGCCCTCGAGGAGTGATCCATGGTGCCAAAGAACAGACTTAACCGAGTTTAGGCAAGGGCTTCCTTCAGGAGGTGACAATTGAGCTGAAGAATAAGATGAATAAGTCCTAACTGAGCACAGAAGGGCGGGAAGGGGGTTATGGACCAAGGCCACCAAAGAATAACTGTCCTGACGTATAGCCAGCCCAGCTGCTATGGCTGGCTCAGTGGTTGAGTGTCAGCCCATGAACCAAGAGGTCACCAATTGAATTCCCAGTCAGGGCCCGTGCCTGGATTGTAGGCTTGATCCCCAGCAGAGGGCGTGCAGGAAGCAGCCAATCAATGATGTTTCTCTCTTATCGATGTTTATGTCTTTCTACCCCTCTCCCTCTCTCTAAAAATCAATAAAAACATTTTAAAAAATAAAAAAGAACGCGTAGCCAGCCAAGGGGCCAGCTGACAAGTAAGGTGGAGCCAAATGAGGTGCTCTAATGGGGATGCCAGGCTTCTCCTAAGAAAGAGGTCCGCCGGCTCTCGGAGACACCCTGTTCAGAACTAACTTACTTTTTGGCAGAGGAGCTAAGTATGCACTGAGCTCCTCACTCTTTCCTGAGCGCCCTCGGGTCCAGAACTCTCTCTGCATGGGGGGTAGTTGCAAAAAATAAAAATAAAACAATTGGTGCCATCCATGCCACAGACCCCAGAAGCAAGACACTGGTGGGTCTTGCAGGGACTCAACCCTGGGTGCTGGCTCTGTTAATATGGCCCATGGCATCTCTCTCCCTTTCTCCCCTCCTCTCTCCTTCCACCTAACCCCGTCTTCCAGCCAAGCAAGGGCACCTCAGCAGCCATTCTTTCGCTAATGAGAGATCACAAATATTCTCAGGGAAGGCAGCCCCTGGCTTCCCTTCAGTTCAGCTGTCTGGCGGGGGAGGAAGGGGGGAATCTAAAACATTAACCGCACTATTAAGATGGAGCTAGAAACAATGGAAGTTAATTATAGCTGCCTTTTTATGCTCCCATCATTCAAAGGGAACCCTCCAGGCACCTTTTATGTCTCTCTGTTTCTCCCCCTTAGCCCAAGTGCTCCTGCAGCGTGGGTGGTTTCCCTGATTCTAAAAAATGATGAATTTACCACCAATAATCCCCCAGCAGGAGTAATTAGCAAGTTGTCTGCTTGGAGATGCCTGTTAGAGCAGGGATGCTTGCTCCGAGGGGAGCCCAGGCGTTCCTGGGCCTCTGGCCTGGCTGCCTCGCCCAGGCCCTCATGGACGGGAAGGAAGAACAGTGGTTCTGGACTCTCCATTTAACTACAAAGGGCCTAGACTTGACATTTGAACTCCCCACGTCTTCAGTGGCAGCAGCATCTTTAAAATTCATTCCTTTGCTAGATATGTATTTAGTGCCTATTAGGCATCAGCTGTGCAAGACCCTGGCTATGCACGCCTGACTAAACCAGACCTGGGCCTTCACTTCTGAAATCCCTTTGAGCTCAATACCTAGTGATTTGTTAGTGATCTCTCTCTCTCTCTCTCTCTCTCTCTCTCTCTCTCTCTCTCACACACACACACACACTAATGTAAGCCCCATCACAGCTGCTTGTCCACAGCTACATTCTCTATGTTCTTCAGCTCCTATCACAATGCCTGCACATACGTGGTTAACACACATTTGATGGATGAACAAATGAGTGCATGAATGAATGGTCATCTTTTGGGGACAATGCTTGGCAAAGCAAGGTCCTCAAGACTGGGATTGATCCATGAACAACCCAACACAGTTAACCAACCATTTCAGCTCACGACTCGTTGCTCTGGAGGGGCTTAAAGGGGTCACATGGTGCCTAAACTCAGGCTTTGAGTTCCCAGAGGCCATCAAAGATCAGGAGAGTAAGTTCTCTCTGGTTAATGTCATGGGTCATGCTTCTGCTCAATGTCCCAGCCTGGCATTTCCCATGTTCTCTCCCTCCCCTTCCTCCCAGAGCCGTCAAGTTCTCAGCCAAGCTGATGGGGCAGGCAATGGCCAAGAGGGTCAAGGCGACCATCCTGTATGGCACAGAGACGGGTAAATCGCAGGCCTATGCCAAAACCCTGTGTGAGATCTTCAAGCACGCCTTCGATGCCAAGGTGGGTAGGGGCACTGCCAGCTCTCCAGCCCCTCCTGGTGATTAAAGTGGGGAGGGGAGAGAGGGAAGTCCACAGAGTAGAACCCTTTGAGAATGGATGAAAGCACTTCCCAAGTTGCCCGTCAGCACACACACTCACATTTTCATAAATTCCAGGGGACGGCGATATCCCTCTCTCTGCGAACCCCCCAGGAGTCCAGAAATCACAAAATGAAACCCCCAGATCTAGAGGAAACTGTTAGAGGGTTTTATGAAAATCCGTTCTGGAGTCAGTTTAAGAAGCTCTGCGTTAAATACAGTTCAGTGGGTTTCTTTGCTGCAGGACTTGTCAGAGCCTTTAGTCTGCACGTCTGTGTTGTCATCTCCAAAAGAGGAGGGCGGAGAATGTAAATGTTCCCCAGACATGTTTGTTTATGGCTCACTTGTTTTTGGGAAGCATCTCCAGAGACTGGGCTTCCCTAGAACCGCCGTTGAAAACTGTTTCTCGAGCGATGCTAGGATACAGGGCAACAATCTTTCCCCAAAGCAGGCCTCTCAGACTGGTTTGGCCCAGGCCATCCACCCTGCTGGAGGGAGGCTAGAACGGAGGCTGAGCAGCCGTTGGTCAGACCCAGTCGGCCAGGTCACTCCCAGCCTAGATGTGGTCAAGGAGCTTCCAAGATCAGTTGGTTTTAAAAAGCTGAAGGGTCTCCATTGGGACCTGTCTCTACTGGCGGTCACCCCCTGCGCCATTTCCCCAGATTCCCTTCGGCCTCCAGGCCACAGTGACCACAGGAGGTCCCACCCTGCCAGAGGCTTGCAGGTCTACCCATGAAATAGCAACACCCCACACATTTGGTTCTTCCAAAGGAGAGGGCTCAAGATGACTCATCTTCTGCTTCTCCTCCTCTTCCTCTTCTTTCTCCTCCTCCTCCTCCTTCCCCCATCACTTCCTCCTCCTCCTTCCCCCATCACTTCTTGTTCTCTCCCACCTTCTCTCCTCATCACCTCTTCCTTCCTGCCCCCTCTTTGCCATGGAAGACTATGACATTGTGCACCTGGAACATGAAACGCTGGTCCTGGTGGTCACCAGCACCTTTGGCAATGGAGACCCCCCTGAAAATGGGGAGGTAAGATGAGTGTTCGCCTGTTCTAGCTCGTGTTTCCATCAGCAGGAAGAAAGAGGGGCTACCGTTGCACCCGCTGTTCAGTAGCACATCCTCCCAGGGCCTCAAAGACGGTGGTTTCAATGTGGATCTAAGCTCGGCCAAGATGGGACAATTCCAAGTCCTCTGTCTGTTGGCACCCAGGGCCTGGCTGGCTCCTAGTGAAACGGCTGTCATCTGAGTGAGCTGCTTCTTTGGAATAGATGCTCAAACCAAGAGCTGGGTGTCCCCTGGAGCTTGATGCTCCAGATGAGAGAAGTGGGGACAATATTTTTATAGAGAGAAAGCCGCCACCAAGGGGCTTGGTGTGCTGGGGGTCGGGCGTCCACTTCTGCAGTTCTTTAAGCAGCTGACCCTCCCGGGTGCGTCTGCAGCGCAAGCATGGCTGCCCTGCCGAGCCCCTCGCCATCTCACCATCTCGGACATCCGGGCCCCCGAGCATCAGACTCCTCTTTTTCCAGCCAGGACCCCAGCCCCTCGGGACCTGAGCATATCCCAGTTTTAATAATACACTCCTGACATGTCACTCACCTCTTTCGCTCTGCAGAAATTCGGCTGTGCTTTGATGGAAATGAGGCACCCCAACTCTGTGCAGGAGGAAAGGAAGTAAGTGGACGGCTCTCCACGGCCGCATGACCCCCCTGGGGGGGACTGGAAATTGTCTTTTGGCACCTGGGGTTCACGTTTGAGGTCTGGGTGGATGGCGGTTGTGACCGACAGTCCAGCTGTGGCCGATTTCAGCCGCTGGGTGCGTGCGCCCCACCAGCGCGGATGCTCTGGTCCTAATTAGAGGGTCTTGGTTTGGTCCCTTCACGGCCCTGCGCCTCGGTTTCTTTTCCTATCAAGTAGGGTTTATTGCACCTGCCTGGGCTCTCCAATTTGTAAGACGCGAATTAGAAACTAGATGTGTGTGCCTGTGAGAAACTGAGAGCCCTGTGCAAACGCCAGTTCTCTCCACCCCCGGGACCCGACCTGCGGGATCAGTGAAATGCGCTGCTTTCCCTGGCACTGTGCCGCCTGATGCTCAGGGTGGCGCTGCAGCTCGGGTGGGGGTGCCATTCAAAAGAAGGCAGAGAGTTGCCTGCGGTCAAACGATGTTCGCGTGAAAGCGCATCCAACGTGGGGCTGGGTTCTGAAGAGATCCCGTGATCTGAGAAACACCTGGAATCAGCGTTACCCTTGGAAAGCCCTTAAGTCGCCCACAAAGTGGAGAACATATGGCAGGTGCAGACGGAGCTGCCTTTCAGTGAGGCCAACACAGCGCCGCCTCCAGCTCAGAGCAGACCCCATGTCTGCCGTTGGGCACCAAATGCCGCCGCTGGCCGTGGTTCGCAGAAAATCCCTCCTGGTTTTCTTGCAGCCAAGCACGTGTTGCCAAACTCGCATGCTTTCCGTATCCAGGGGGTGGCTGAGTCCCCTGCACTCAGCCCTCGTTCTGTGCCCAACTCCAGCACTCACTGTCCCTGCCCCTCTCCTGCCCATCCCAGCCTGGGTGGTCTCCAGCAGGTCCCCTCCTTCAGGGAGAGATAGGGCACCATCCATTCTCCCCTCTAGGTACCCGGAACCCTTGCGTTTCTTTTCCCGTAAAGGGCCTCCCCTCCCCCGAGGTGACACAGAAGTCCATGGTCTGGCTGCAGCCCGTGACAGCCAGCACAGGTAGAGCGGATGTGCGTGTGCATACATGCACCCGTGTGCATGCGTGTGTGCAGGGAGATGTGTGTCTGCACGCGTGCGCATGCATGCCTGACGCGCGAACCTCCAAGGCCACATCCAGGTGTCAAGGAAACCTGAGCTTCTAACCCAGGCTGTGCCACTAACTCATTAAGCGACCTGGAGCCAGTCCCTTGACCTCTCGGGGCCTCAGTCTTCCTCATCCACCAAATGGGGAGAAGCTCTCTGTCCTGACTACGCCTGGGAGCTGGCTGTTGTGCGGGCCAAAGGATAACAACAGAGAGGACAGCAGAGGACAGCATTTGGGACACCATAAACCTCATACAGAAACACGCGCTGTCATTCTCACCCCACAGCCACCCACCATCCCTCCCACTAACACCACGGCCACCCCCTGGTGTGTCGCATGCCTTATTTGGGGAAGTGACTCCATGTGTGACTATTTTAGGGCAGAAACGACGCTTACGTGTATGTAGACCTTTCCGGATCCTGGAGCAAGAACTGAGGATCCCGCTTAGGACCCTGCTGCCAGAATGCGCAGTTTCTTTTTTTGTCTTTTGTGCTCAGATTGATGTCTTGAGTTTTTGTGTTTCGCTTTGCTTTGTTTCTTCTGTTTGGAGGTTTGGATCTCTTGGTTTGGTTTTGTTTTGGGGGGTTGTCTTGGAGACGTTTTTTGTTTTGTTTTGTTTCTGCCCTGTCTGAGGTCAAAACTGACTTTTAGAGAAAAACTGGAAAACCAGGTGTGTGTTTTCTTGAGGCTTCAGGCTCCTGGGCCGCTAGTGCTGAGGTTTGAATCCCATCTTGCGTACTCAAGTGAGGTTTGAATGACATCTTCCTTCCCCTTCAAAACACGTTAACGAGAACGCCAGTCTCCTCTCCTGCCCCTGTCAGTGCTGAGCGCTCTCCATGCTGACGTGGAAGGTGGGAGGTGACAGACCCCGGAAATGTCTAAGGACCACAACCGGACAGAAAGAGCCGCGTCCAGTCAAACTTCCCAGGGTGACGAACGTGGTCTGTATTTGTGCCGCACGTGGTTGTTGAGTGAGCAACTGACGTGTGGCTAGTGCAAGTGAGAAACAGACTTTTTCGTTGTATTTCGTGTGAATTAATTCGGCTTTACATTCAAATAGCCACAGGTAGCCAATGGCCCCCACAGTGGACAGTACAAGTCCAGGTCCAGGCTACGCAAAGTGAGGTCTGGGGACCAGCGGCATCGGCATTTCCTGGGAGTTTATTAGAAATGCAGACTCTCAGGCCCGGCCCCAGATCTTCAGAATCAGGATCTGCCTAACCCAGCCCCAGGCTGATCCTTACGCACGTTACAATTTGGGTAGCAAGGAAGCATGGTCTAATGGTTAGGGGTGGTCTGTTCTACTCCCTCCTGCCTTCTTGCCTCGTCAGTCATTTTGACTGTTAGGCTTTCAATTTCCTGAGCTGAGTGTGGTCAGAAAGAACCCCTTTAACACACATGGCATCAAGGACAGATGGCTGGCTGGCACGGTGGTGGGCGGGGGTAAGTTGATCCATGTGGAGGAGGCCTGAGGATGCCGTGGTCTCACTCATCACACGTGAGAGGGTCCTAGAACCAGGACTGGTCCTTTGAAGATCCAGGGCGGTGACCTCAGGCGAGGGCTCAAGCCAGAGCTCATGACTCTCTCTCCTTTTGGCAGGAGCTACAAGGTCAGGTTCAATAGTGTTTCCTCCTATTCCGACTTCCACAAATCATCAGGCAATGGGCCGAACCACAGAGACAACTTTGAGAGCACCGGCCCCCTGGCAAACGTGAGGTGAGCAAGGGGCTCAGGCCTCAGGGATGACAAAGGCTCTTGGGGAACTGGACTCAGCTGCAAAGTGGGCTCTTTGTTGTGGGGGTGTCTTCCTTCCACATGTCTCCATCCCTGGAACAACCAGTTGCACCCTGGCTGCACCGGACTCCTCTTCGTAAATGCACAGCCTCATTGCCCCCACAATCCCGTTTTCCCCCATCACCCACCTTTCACCCCATCACCCACCTTTACCCCATCCCACACCTTTCACCCCTCACACACCTTTACCCCATCCCACACCTTTACCTCATCCCACACCTTTCACCCCATCCCACACCTTTCACCCCATCCCACACCTTTACCTCATCCCACACCTTTCACCCCATCACCCACCTTTCACCCCATCACCCACCTTTCACCCCATCACACACCTTTACCCCATCCCACACCTTTACCTCATCCCACACCTTTCACCCCTTCACCGACCTTTGACCCCATCACACACCTTTCACCCCAGAAACACCTGTCACGCCATCAACACGTTAGACCGCAGCAAACACACGTGACCCCCGCGCCAAGATCGTACCCCATCAGCTGCGTTACAGCGAAGGAGCGACATTTCAACCATCACACACCTTTCACCCCATCACACACACTTCACCCCCTCATCAGCATGTCACTGGTGATGGAGAACGTTGACCCCTAGAAATTACGCAATGAGCTGTCCTTCCCAAGTGATATGCTGCACACTTGATAGAAGCTTCTGGAGACAAACTGCCATAACCCAGTGGTTCTCAAAGCTGGGTGTGCATTAAAAGCACCTGGAGATGTTTACAATGCACCCATAACCACGCCCACCTCCAGAGATTCTGGTGTAATCGGCCTACGATTGGGACCAAGCATTGCTTTTCAAAAAAAAAAAAGCCTACTTCTCCCCTCCCCCAGCCGGGTATGTCTATTGTTTAGTGTCATCCAATACACCAGGGTTGTGGATTCAATCCCCAGTCAGGACATATACAAAAATTAACCAATGAATACATCAATAAGTGGAACAACAAATCGCTCTCTCTCAAATCAATAAATGTTTAAAAACTGAGAAAATATTTCCCCAATGGACTCCAATGTGTAGTCAGATTCAAAAGATTCTGGCCTAACTCCTTTATTTTCAAAAGCATAGTCACATGCCAGGAGGTAACTTTAGGTAGTACATGGACATATATTTTGTACTTCAATAGTTGTGTCTTCAGTTTAATGGATATTTGGAAAGAAATAAAACTGGATGTCATGCCAAACCCTTGGTTTCACAGATTATCGGTCAAGACGAGGCTGATACAAGCACAGTATCCAGGCCTGGCCAGGAATCTCTAACTAAACCTGGCCACTAACTGAACCTTCTTCACAGATGCTCAGAGCAGTGCTCAGCAGATGCCTCAGATCACAGGGCTCCTCGATAGTGAAGCATTGTGGCCATCAGTCCACTCTTTAAAAGACTTCATTTTTTTAAAAAGCAGTCGTAGGTTCATAGAAAAATTCAGGGGAATGTACAGAGACTCCCCATATACTTTCTGCCCCACAACACATACATACACAGCCTCCTCCGCCATCAGCATTCCCACCAGAGGGTACATTTGTACAGTTGATGAACCTGCATTGACACGTCATGATCTCACCAAGTCCATGGTTTACAGTAGGGCTCCCCCTTGGTGCTGTCCATTCTGTATAGGGTTTTTTTAAAAATGTATTTTATTGATTTTTTACAGAGAGGAAGGGAGAGGGATAGAGAGAAACATCGATGAGAGAAAAACATCGATCAGCTGTCTCCTGCACACCCCCCACTGGGGATGTGCCCACAACCAAGGTACATGCCCTTGACCAGAATCGAACCCGGGACCCTTCAGTCCGCAGGCTGACGCTCTATCCACTGAGCCCAACCAGTTAGGGCCTGTATAGGTTTTGAAATCTGTACACTTTTTTTAGTTTGACAATGTAATGTCAGCTGCATAGTTTGACAGTCAGACCCATTTTTCCCTCATTAAATCCACCATGGCTTACAGCAGGTGATGGCAAGTGACAGCCATGGTCCAAATACAGCCTGGCCACTGTCTGTCTGTGTACAACCCATGAGCTCAGAGTGGTTTTCACACCTGAACGCTTGCAATTCATTTAATGATTTTTTAAAAAAAACACTACCTTTGAGCCCCAATTAAGCAAAATGTTATCTCCCATGAAAAAGAATTACGTTCTCATGAGTACATATGTTACTAAAAAATTATACTGAGCTATAATTATTATCATTATTAGTAGCACATTTTTAACTTCGTTAGTAAAAAAAATGTGTGGGAATTTGTTCTTTCTTGTTATAGAAGTAGCTATATAATCGTTTCCATTTTGTTTCTTCGCCTAAAAATATTTACTCTCTGGCCCCCTGGACAATAAGTTGGCCAGCTCCTGGTGTAGAGGCTTAAAATAGGACCTCTGAAGCCAGGAGGTGAAGACGGGGATGGAAACGTGAGTCTGGGAAGTGACGATGATGCAGGTCTTCAGGTGCATCGGGAAGCACATTCATGAACTCACCCCTTGGACCATCTGCTGTGAACACATGTGGGCCAGAGGAGCTAGTCAGCACAAACTAAACGCAGGTTAAACAGCGCTAATGAGGAACAGAGTTGGGACAGTCAAGTCTGGTGGATGTCACAAACATTCATATTGCAGATTTGGGGCGCAACGCCTTAACCACGGCAGGCTGGTGCTGGGGTTCCCAGATCTGCTCAGGCTGAGGGTGGCCCTCCAACCAGTCCACTCCTGGTCACCAGCTCTCTACCCACCAGCTGCCACCCTGCGAGGAAAGGGGGAGGAGTCCAGGTCCAGGAAGATCGTAGGTGCAGGAGGGATGGGGGAAAACACCGCCTGCTCTCATTCACTTTCCGTGGAAAGGCTCTGGAACCAGGAGGAATGGAGGGCAGGAAAGAGGAGGAAAGTGAGATGAGAAAGGAGGGGATAACTTCCATTTGACCTGTGAGACACCTGGACCTATCTCAAGTTCATTCTCCATGATGCAATTTCTTCCCACTGTCTCCTGCCTCTGCCTCTGACCCCCCATCTCACCATCTTGGACCCCTTGTCCTAAAAATGAGATTTGGGGACAGCACCAGACCCTGGATGGAGTAGGTTAGACAGCTCCACTCCTTGGCGTGTCTCCATGACGGTCTGCAGCAGAACCCTGACCTGGGAAAGAAGTGGGATGGGGTGCGCTTGTCCCGCTGGGAACCTGCCACTCCAGTCCCGAGAGGTCAAGACCTACAGCCGGGACCAAGCCCTGGAAGTGTGACATCAAGTGTCTGTAGGACACACTGAGCTAAGAATAGGGGCCACCTGAGGCCCAGCCCCCCACTTCCCATGCCTGAAAGCAGCCAGCCCCCATCTCACTAACTTGACCCCCATCTATTCAGGGAGCAGCATCTTGGTGGTGGCTGTGCAAGGAGGGTTTGTGAGACCAATTCATTTCACAGACATTGCAAGGGGCGGAGCCAGCACATTCACAAGCCCCTCCTCCCCTTTCAGAAGGGCCTGTCCACACCCACATGTGACGTGTCGGCGACAAGTCCTCATTGATACAGGCCCCCGAGGACCTCTGTGTTATAATTTCCATTGTCTTTGTACTTAAAACTGCTCTGGTTTGTAGAATTACAAAACTTGTAGAATTTAAGCTTCCCCATAATGTAGACAAATATTCCCAATTAGTCCAGCTTAGAAAGGGACACACAGGGAACAGCCAGTGATTCTGGATGGTCACCACCCCGACTCATCGTCCTTAGGACAAATGGGGAATTTTCTCCTGAGGACAGTATTGCCCAGTACAGCGGTTCTCAACCTGTGGGTCGCGACCCCTTTGGCGGTCGAACAACCCTTTCACAGGGGTCACCTAAGACCATCCTGCATATCAGATATTTACATTTACAATTCATAACAGTAGCAACATTACAGTTATGAAGTAGCAACGAAAATAATTTTATGGTTGGGTCACAACATGAGGAACTGCATTTAAAGGGCCAGAAGGTTGAGAACCACTGGCCTAGTAGATACCAGAGGAAGGGAGAAGCCCCCAGGGGAGGGAGCTATTTGAATGATAGCCTTCTCCAATAGGCTTGGGGTTGCCTGACCATCATGGCTAACCACAGTCCTTCTGGGAGAAAAAAAAAACAGGTGTATTGGTCTGCTTGGGTGGCCTTAACAAAACACCACAGACAAAGTAGCTTCAACACTTGAAGTTTATTTTCTCACAGTTGTGGAAGCTGGAAGTGCAAGATCAAGGTGCTAGTAGGACTGGTTTCTGGTGAGGCCTCTCTTCCTGGCTTGCAGACAGCCACCTTCTTGCTGTGTCCTCACCTGGCCTTTCCACTGTGCACATGCAGAGAGAGGGAGACTCAGGTGTCTCTTCCTCTTCTTTTTTTTCCCCTTTAGTGAATAAGATGTTACAAATGTGTCCTTATCCCCCCAATGTCCCCTCATCTCCCCAATCCTACCCTCACCCTCACCCCCTGTTGTCCACATCCATCACTTATGCTTATATGCATGCATACAAGTCCTTTGGTTGATCTTTCTCTCTTCCTCTTCTAATGAGGACGCCAGTTCTATTAGATTAGGGCCCTCACGTTATAACCTCATTTCATCTCAGTTACCACCTTGGAGGCGCCATCTGTAAATACAATTAGTTACATTGGGGGTAGGGCTTCAACATATGAATTTGGGGAGGCATAGTTCTATTCATAGCACCAGGCACCCCCTCAGCCCAACCTCACATGAGCTTTCTCTTGTCTCGTTGGCAGGTTCTCAGTGTTTGGCCTTGGCTCGAGGGCATACCCGCACTTCTGCGCCTTTGGCCACGCTGTGGACACCCTCCTGGAAGAGCTGGGAGGAGAGAGGATCCTGAAGATGAAGGAAGGGGATGAGCTCTGTGGTCAGGAGGAGGCGTTCAGGACCTGGGCCAAGAAGGTCTTCAAGGTAACCATCCTCCCAGATCTCAGAGACCCAGGGGGAAAGGTCATGCTCCCCTTGGCCCCCAAAGACAGACGGCCTAAACCATCGCAAAGAGAAGGAACTTGAGAGGATCCCGGGTACTTCCCCCAGGCATCCACCCAGGAGGCAGCTTTAAACAGCTCGATGAACTTGGGTGACCTTACAACACACATTCTCCACCCTGAACCCAAACTCCTGCATGTGGCTAAGGCAGCCGTGGGCAAACTACGGCCCGCGGGCCGGATCCGGCCCGTTTGAAATGAATAAAACTAAAAAAAAAAAAAAGACCGTACCCTTTTATGTAATGATGTTTACTTTGAATTTATATTAGTTCACACAAACACTCCATCCATGCTTTTGTTCCCGCCCTCCGGTCCAGTTTAAGAACCCATTGTGGCCCTCGAGTCAAAAAGTTTGCCCACCCCTGGGCTAAGGAGTTGGTCTACAAAAGAAATTACAGAGTCTTGGAATTTCTGGGAGGAATCCAGCCCTCACTCACATTTGGTCGACAAGTAGACAAAACACATAGAATTGATTAACTAAACCAAGGGCCATGCCTTGACCTGGAACTCAGATCTCACCAACTTGTCTACTTGGAGAAGCATATTCCTCTTGTGCTAAATATTAACTGGCCATTGTGGGAGCCACTAGCCACATGTGGCTATTTAAATCTAAATATGATGAATGGATAAATAAAATTAAGTATGCTTATGCAAAAGAATACTCTTCAGCCATAAAAAGGAATGAAGTCCTGACACATGCTACAACATGGATGAACCTTGAAAACATGATCTAAGTGAAAGAAGCCAGACACAGAAGGCCACATATTATATGATTCCATTTATATGAAATGTCTGGAATAGGCAAATCTGTAGAAACAGAAAGTAGATTAGTGGTTGCCAAGATTTTGAAAAAAGCGGAAATGGAAGTTACTGTTAATGATGGTACAGAGTGTCTTTGGGGTCACGAAAATGTTCTGAAAGTGGATGTTAGTGGCAGCGGCGCATCCTTGTAAATATACTAAAAACCACTGACTTGTACATTTTTAAATGGTGAATTTTATATGATATGAATTATCCCTTCTCTATGAGAATATGTAACTATATAAAATATAGTTCATTTATATATAGTTCATTTATCTCATTCTCTATATATTCATTCTATATTAATAGGTTATTCTATATTAATTTTCTATGTATACATTAAATTGGGTTAAAACGTCCATTTCTCGGGAGCACCAGCCATGTTTCGTGTGCTCAAAAACCACCAGTGGCTGGTGGTCACCCTGTCAGACAGCACAGAGCCATCCATCCTGCCAGGACATCCTATTCCAGACATGGGCCACAGGAGGATGAAGGACTACTGGCCTCCTGTCTGCGTGTGGCGCATGATTTAGTTGCCCCTGGGGGAGAACGAAAAAACAATCACTATAGACCCACCTTTACCCGCTCTTTCCTCGGCCCTGAAGAACCTTCTTACCAGCAGCCCCTGGAGAAAAAGGGCTACAACAACCTCCTGTCATCCAGTTGATACTTTTCATTCTGAAAGCAAATGCAGGTGTGGAGCAAGAGGGAAACTGAGGCCTCTGAGCTATAAAGAAACCTGTGTGGGGAGGCTGTCAATAGCCTGTTCCTGCTTTCTTCCTAGATGGGGAGAGTGGAGATAACTTGGCTTTTCTCACACCTCAAGATAACAGTGTGGTTGTTGACTTCAATCGGCCAACTTTGAGCATCCCAGAAGCAGGGTCTGTCACAAGCCACTCTGTCCTTGAGCTATTACCCCCCTATCCTCCACTCCAACCCCGGCCCTGGCAACCACTAATCTGCTTTCTGTCTCTATGGATGTGCCTGTGCTGCACATTTCATATGAATGTGGTCTGTCATGCCTGGCTTCCTTCACTTTAGCATAATATTCTCAAGGTTCATCCATGTTGTAGCATGTGTCAGGACTTCATTCCTTTCTTTTTTAATATTTTTTATTTTATAATACATTGAGATTACAGAAAAGTAACAAGGATGTACAAAGAGTTCCATAACAAAGAGTTCCTGTTAACATAACCATGGTACACGTGTCAAAACTAGGAACAGTGATACAGTGATACAGGCTTTCTTCAGGTTTTACCCGTTTTCCCACCGATGCCCTTTTTCTGTTTCAAGATCAAATCCAGGGTACCATATCGCATTGTCAAAACATCTCCATCTCTTCAGCTGTGTTTCTCAGTCTTCCCTTTCATGATCTTAAGAGTTTCTAAGAGTACTGGTGAGGCATTTTGTAGCGTGTCCCTCAATATCTTTTTTCAAGATTAGAGTGGGGTGATGGGTTTGGGGAAGAATATCCCAGAAGAGAGGTGTCCTCATCACATCATGCCAGGATACCGGGGTCAACATGACTTATTTTAGAGATGTTAACCATGATCACTCGATGAAGGCACATTCCTTTTCATGGCCAAATATTCCATTCTATGGATATACCGTATTTCGTTTATCCATTCATCAGTCAATGACATTGGAATCATCTGAAAATCAACACGAGCCCAAAAATTGGTGAAAAGCTATCCTTGAGAACCTTTGGAGTTATCCATGGCTTTTATCTCTAAAAATAATTCTGAACAGTAATTCTTAGGATCACTAGAGTTAGAGAACTTACAAACTTAGCAAATGAAAAATAAATGTATGTGCAGGTATACAGACATTCAATACATTCTGCCTTTAATGTAACTTTTTAAAATCTGTGAGGAAGATGGATAGGAAATTCTAAAATGTTTACTTTCTTGTTTAATAGTAGACCTCTACACATGTTGGTTTTATAAATAAGTGCAGAGAGTTACATGCAAAATAGATGTGAGGTCCTAAAGACAATAGTAAATGTGATATGTCCAGCACATCAAAGGCACTCAAAAAAATATAGGATGGATTAGTGGATGGATGGATGGATGGATGGATGGATGGATGGATGGACCAACAGACTGGTGGGTGGATGGGTGCGTGGGTGGATGGTTGGAAATTGGAGGGGTTGATAGATGGAGGGGTTGAGGGATGCAGGGGTTGAGGGATGGGTGTGTAGGTGGGTAGATGGATGGATGGATGGTTGGAAGGTGGGATACATGCCATGACTCAGAGCTGTTGGAGAGGAGCCCCTCTTGGCTGACGGAGGCCACTGAAAGCCCTGTATGTGCCACAGACAGCCTGTGACGTGTTCTGCGTGGGAGATGATGTCAACATTGAGAAGGCGAACAACTCCCTCATCAGCAATGACCGCAGCTGGAAGAGGAACAAGTTCCGCCTCACCTATGTGGCCGAAGCTCCAGAGCTTACACAAGGTACCTCTCACCAGGCTCCGGGTGGGCGCTCAGGACAGTGGGGCAAAGGAGAGTCTGGAGCTGTCACATGGGAAAGGTGCTGAGAGAAAGTGGGTGTCCTCGCTTAGTCCCTTCCGTTCAGTCCTCCCAGTGAAGACACAGCTGCTGCCTCACACTCCGTGAAGCACACACATGGACATCTCTCTCTCCTGGAGGATGGAGCGTTACCCAGAACCGTCCTCTTCTCAATCAGTCCAACCAGACTTGCTCTGTGTCCTGCATTCCCACAACCACCCCACCCACCCCAACCACTGCCGCCTGACCTCTTCCTCCTTTTCCCTTCACTTTACTCCAGAGCAGCGGTCGACCACTGATGGCCCGAGAACCACTGGTCTGTGAGGTCCGAAAGCTTAGCGACCGCTGCTCCAGAGGACAGTGGGGAGTGTGAGTAGAGTCAGTAGAAGCTGAAGATGTTCTACTGACAACTATTTAACCCATTTCAGGAGGACTTTGTTTTTCTCCCCGCAGGTCTATCCAACGTGCACAAGAAGCGGGTCTCAGCTGCTCGTCTTCTCAGCCGTCAAAACCTTCAGAGCCCTAAATCCAGGTGGGAACCTTATTCACCCAGGTACCACCCGCTGCTCTAGAAGCCCCCACAGGGAGGCGGGAGTCCCTGCTGACTCCAGACACCGGTTTCCCACCACCATCCTGAGTGCCATGGAGACCCCGTTGCTGCTTTGTAGCATGTTGGTTTCCTGCTTTTCCTTTGACAAGCTCCCACCTGGAGGGACAGAAGGAGGTGGTGGTGATCACTGTGGATAGAGAACGGTTCTATGAAAAGTTTGCCATGTAGACCTCTTCCTTGCAGAACTACTAATTGTGCCATAGCATCTCAGTCAAAATCACTTAGTCCAGGCATCGTCTCCTGTTGGGTAAGGCTTCTCTAGAGTCCTGCTTACAGGCTTTTGGAATGACGGGAGGCTCATTACTGCACAAAACAGCCACTGTGTGTTTGAAGTCCTGAGTGTTAGGAATCGCCTTACTGTGGCTTAGAACAAAGCATCTCTCCCTAGCACTTCATTTTGATCCCAGTGACACCCTCCGGGGACACCTACAAAAATGTTTGCTTCTTCCAGATGAAACACCTGCAAAGAGTCAAGACCTTGACCAATCTCTCCTGGGCCCTGATTCCTTCCAATTGCTCTTCCTAAGACCTGTTTTCCCACGCCTTTTGCCTTAGCAGAAGGACACACTCTGTCCTGCTGGAAGTGTCATTGCAGACCTGGTCACAGTGCAGTGCAGGTCCTGTGACCACTGCCAAGTGCGCTGAGGCTATTGTTACCATCCCTGATGGGAACACGACGCCCGAGGCGCCGAGGTTGCAGGCCTCGTTCTAGCAGCCATGCTGAGCTCCCGTGTAAGCTTAGGGATTTGCTGCTCTTAGCTATCAAGTCTTTACTTTTTAATCCTCACCCGAGGGTATGTTTTTATTGATTTTTAGGGGGAGGGGGGAGAAAAACATCAACGTGAGAGACAAACATCAATCAGTTGCCTTGACCGGGGATCAAACCCACAACCTTCTGGTGTACAGGCCTATGCTCCAACCACCGGAGCCACCTTGGCCAGGGCGACTTAGCTTTCCGATCTTTTCAGAATGACCCGTCCAGGTCTGTCCATCCCTCCACTCGCGTAAGCAAACTTCTTAGCACACGTGAATATCTTTGCATCGATCCCCATCGACTGGAATCCTTTTCACTTTGCAGTTATAGCACATGAAGATCTTTTTAAATCTCGATTCTTTGCGTGCATGGCATAGGACAAAGAGTGGCCTCCAAGCTGGACAGCCCTGGCTGGTGACCCCAGCTCTGCCATGCAGCAGCTGTGTGACCTTGGGCAAGGCCTTCGGGTCCTCGGAGCCCCTGTCTCCTTATCTCAGATGACAGTGAGGACTACAAGGATAGCTGACATGTATCTAGTACTTTGTGCTCCAAGCACCATTCTGATCCATTCTCTGCAGGATCTCCCATAATTCTGACCAGCTCAGGAAGGAGGTACCATCATCATCCACATTTTCAATAGGAGAAATGGCCATTAGAAATGCAAGTGACTTTTTCAAGGTCACACAGACTTGGTTTCTCTAACTCCAAGGTCAAGACACTGAATGCCTATCCATATGGCCTCCACCGCATTGCAAGGCTGCTATATTATAGACACGTACGCAGAGCGACAGTTATATTCTCCTTTCCCATGGCTAGTCTGCATCCATCCCAGCTTCATGCACCTGCAAAGTTAGTGTGCCTGCTTTCTTACGTGGACTTCAAGACTTTGACCAACAGGATGGAATCCCGGGCCTCTCATGTTCTCTCTTAGATCTTCAAACATTAAAGAAATGGATTGGGAAATTGGTCCTTCTGAATAGCTAGTTAAATGCAATATGCACAACGTAACACTCTCTGATCTAGAGAAGGACTCTGCATTTGAAATACTGCACATCTTACTTCCCCTTTCTGTCCTGTGCAAAGGTGTGACTTAGGCAGCATTATAAGAGAAGGGACTTAAGAACCTACTAGAAAAGACCAGATCATAAAAATCACTCCCTATACCATCGCACCCAACAAGCAAGTTAATTGGCAAATGTTCTGATGCTAAGTTGGGCCGAAGTCCCAGAATAACTGCCCTCCCACCTCTGCAAAGGGCAGCTGCCTCCATGCCCAGTGGCTGCTCCAGGAGCATTACAGCAAGGTCAGGAGCGGGGCGGCAGCGTGGATTCGCACAGAAGGATCAAATGGTGTCGAGGGTTTATCTCTTTAAAAGCATGTTCTGTATCACTACCTGTTTGGGGGCTTGCTACGAGTTCCAGCTTTATAAGGTTTTTTGAAGGGTTAATTGAGTGAAAAAGCATGACTCTCCCCTGTTTTTCCCGGCCCAAGGCCCAAGTCGGGCTGTTGGACCCAGGAGACCGTAAGCAAGCTATCAGCAGTCACCCCACCGGAGACCCTTAATTGCAAGCAAAGTGCTTAAGAGGAAGTAAACAGCCTTTCAGGGGTGGTCCTGGCAAATCTAAAGAGAAAAGTGGTCGCAGTTACTGCCTGGCCAGAAAACACATTTTCTAATGTCTGAGCACCAATTAGCAAACAGTGCAGAAGAGTGTATAGGGGAGCACTAATGGGCGGGGTGTGCCTGGGCGTCCTGGAGCAGGAGGAGGAGGGAAATGCAGGACGGGCTGAGCCAGGCTGGTGAGATCGGCGGAGGGACCTGGCACAAGAGAACTAAGGTACACAAGGGCCTGAGCACTTGGCGGCCTTAGATACTGGCGGGACCATGCAAAGGAGAGGTCTTGATGGTTGAAATTTTATTTTTCGTATAACTGCTTTTTTTAAATGTGTTTTTATTGATTTTAGAGAGAGAGGAAGGGAGAGGGATAGAGAAGTAGAAACATCGATGAGAAAGATACATTGATTGGCTGCCTCCTGCACACGCCCTGCTGAGGATCGAGCCCACAACCCCCAGCATGTGCCCTGACCAGGAATCGAACCAGTGACCTCTTGGTTCAAGGGTCAGCGCTCAGATGGTTGAGCTCTTGATTTCCGTGTCCCCTCGGATACATTGCCTCTCTCCAGCCTTCACCATAGCAACAGAAAACATCAACATTTGGCTGAAGCCAAAACTCCAGTCTCCTCACCTCCTCTTACACTGCACATCCGGGTCCCAGGTGCCACCTTGAGCCAAGCCATGATGACCTCTGGTCTGAGTGGCTGCAGTAGGCACCTACCCTGTCTCTTTGTTTCTTGGCTTTTCCCTCAAAGATCCAATCTCCAAACAGCAGCCAGAGGAATCTTTTCCAAATGCACATTAACACCTATCCCTCCACAGCTGCACACCCACTGAACGTACGAAACCTCTGGCCTCCTTGTGGTAGCAGGTCGTGACCTCCGCCCAGCTCCCTGACCTCCTCCTCCACCACGCAGCCTGTCTCCATCACTCTCCAAACGCTCCAGCCTCCTTTCCCTTCCTCGGCCACACCACACTATTTCCTACCTCAGGGCCTTGGCACGTGCTGCTCCTCCTCTCGGAAACGCTCTCCCCCTACACCTTTGCATGTCTACCCCTTCTCATTGTTCAGGTCTCTGCTCCAATGTCAAATCTCCAGAGAGGCCTCCCTGACCACTCTTATCTGGTGGCCTCAGCCCACTGCCCCCAACCCATCACCACCCACCATCCACATCAGCAACTCTATCTGAGATCTTTTTAAGTCACCTCCCAATGAAGTCAGGGTACTTTGTGCTAGCTCCAGGGAGGGAATTAGCAGTATCTGCCACTGGCTCCCCAGTGCCTAGTACAGTGCCTGACACTCAGGATAAATTTGTGGAATGAACCTATTAACTCAAACTGCTCTTGACAGACAGTGTTTACCCTTTTCTTGAAAAATGTAACAGTAGTTGGGTGTTGTTGTTGTTTTTTTTTTTTTCATTTAATGCTGGGCATTAGCAGACTATTGTTTTATCTGGGAACCTGGCATTGAACCACTGCCAAGCACATGCACGCGCGTGTGTGTGTGTGTGTGTGTGTGTGTGTGTGTGTTATGCTTCTGTGTGTGGATATAAATACAGCACAGGCAGGGGCTACTCTGGGGGAGGAGGTGAAGGCCCAAATGGCTGCTACCTCCCCAATACTTCCCTTCATTCTCCCCTAATACTTTTAAAAGGTCCATAAGTGCCCCAAGGTGTGTTTTTTAAGAAGGCCTAGAAAATCCTACACTTAGAAACCGCCAGCAGGACTAAGATTGAAGACATTCGGTCTCCAGGCTAGTGTTACCCACCAGGGTCAGTTTCCTGCGAAGCTTCAAGGACCCAGCCCATCAAGGTGCCCTGGGACCATGCGGACATTCTGTGCTGGGGTTGTCAGCAAGCCCAACCCGGTCAGAGCCTCGCTCCCCTGCCAGCTCCACCCCCATCCTGCCCCTTATCTGCCTGGCCACCTTCTGCTGCGTTCAAGAGGACTTGGGGCCAGTGGCTGTGAACGTGAGCCAGCTCAGCAAGTTCGTGTCCTCTGCATTTGTATTTTGTTCCAGCCAAAAGAACAGAGGCAAATACACTTCTGAAAGAAATCGTGATGATCTGGGAGAAAGTGGAATTGATTCGCAGGCCTTTCAACGGGTTCCTGTGGTTCTCAGGAGGCTCCCAAATTAGCGGCCCCACAGCGCCACCTGCTGGCCGTCAGTCCCTGCTAATTCCCTCCCTGGAGCTAGCAGTGGGTCAAGTCTTGTGGGAACCAAGATGGGTGTGAGCTCAAAGCAGGATCAATCGTGCGTAAAATCAGTGCCCCAGAGAAGGCAAAGTGGGACCCAGGCCCTCACACCGCCATTCACAATTTCAGTCGCCAAATTCCCCTCTTTAAAAAAATACTTGACACCCAAAAGAGCAAGCGTGCCAGCACAGCTATTTTTAATAATGGCGGCTATTTGCGGCACAAAAGGGCTCTGGTTCCGCCAAAAGCTCCTTTAAATAGCAAGCCCCATTGGTTTACTCAAGTGATGATTATTCAAGGGAGAATGGAAACTTCCTGTTGAATGTCAAGTTCTCCATCAACTGAAAACCAGTTGTCAAAGAAGAGGAAGCAGAGCCGAAATGCGATCATAACCCAAGGTGTACGAGGGATTTGATGGACCAGCGTGTGATCAATCCCCAGGCTTTTAAATATTGTGTAAAACGTAGTGTCTGTACTAAAACTTGACACCAACCAGAATAACCGAAGTCTGAGAAGTCTTTCCTGAGGCCCCCATTCCCCTGACACAGGCCTCCCTGCACTGGACATACAAGAGTCCCTGAGAAAGGGCGCCGGCAGGTGGGAACGAGGTTCTCTCTGGGTTCTCCTTAGATCTCTCCATGTTTATAGCATCGGGTGGATATGTGTTTAACAACAACCCCAGCTTCAGGCCAGGTCCTTTTCCCCTTTTCCATGGATGTGAGGACGTCCAGTTGCAAAAGGTGTGAAGTTTAGGATTCTGGGGGGACACCACTGCCTTCGCTCCAGGTGTCGAGAGGACCCCCATTGCTACTGAGCCAAAGCTTGTCCTGGCAGCTGGGAGACTGAGGTGCCTTCAACCAACAAAATATTTCTTGAGCACCTACTATGTGCCATGCACTGTCCTAGGTGCCAGGAATAGAGCCCTGAACAAAACAGACACACCAACCCCCTGTCCTCTAGAGTTTACGGTGCTGTGGGGGCCAGAGGATGGGCAGGGGGACGGGCCACAGACTGGATAACAAAGTAAATGCTACTGTGGGTCAGGGGATGGCCACTGCGATGGAGAAGAGAAAAGCTGGGGCAGGAGATGGAAAAACAAAGCGATCTGAGGACTGAGCCCTGGGAGCTCCAAGGTCCAGAGTTCGGGGGGATGAGAAGGAACCAGCCAAGGAGACTGAGCGAGGGCAGCCAGAGGGGAGGCCAGGACCCGTGAGAAGGAAGACAGAGGGGCTGTGCCTTGTGCCGCGCCCTGACCAGCGTGAGCGCTAGAACTGGCTGTTGGATTCGCGAGCTCCCAGGTGACCCTGCTTAACGCCGGGGTGTGGAAACGAGGGGGACAGGAGTCTGGCTGGCCTGGGCCCCAAGGAGAATGGAAGGAGGGAAACTGCAGCCACGGGACCCCCAAAGGAGCAAAGAAAGGGGGCAGTGGCTGGTGATGCCTTAGCTCATTGTTCCGGGTCCTTCCCTCCAGCCGGTCAACCATCTTCGTGCGTCTCCACACAAATGGGCATCAGGAGCTGCAGTACCAACCTGGGGACCACTTGGGCGTCTTCCCTGGCAACCAGGAGGACCTGGTGAATGCCCTGATCGAGCGGCTGGAGGATGCGCCCCCTATCAACCAGCTGGTGAAAGTGGAGCTGCTGGAAGAGCGGAGCACGGCTCTGGGTAAGGACGGCCACGCGGGCACCCCACCCGCCCCTCCCAGGCCCTCCCCTTCTCCGGGAGTCCCAGAGGCAGTGGGCGTCCGGGGAAGAGGAGACCTCTTCCTGGTCCCAGTCACCAACCCAGGTAGGAGAGTGGGTCTCTGTTGCCTCCAGCTTAGGAGACGGAACACTCACTCCCCATTTCTCTTGGCTGAACAACCTTGGCCCAGCTGGCGCTCTATTGTCTGTGATGCCAGGACACCGATGGGGAGACTGATTGGAGCTGGGCCCCTCTGCTTCCCTTTGTGTCACTGCCGCCCCCGTGCCCGCAGAGTAAACAGCAACTGGAATCTGACCCTGCCTCCTCTGAGGGTCCAAAGGCACTGTCTGCAGCCCCACGCCCACCAGGCATGAGGCCGCGTATCAGACCTCATTGTTCACGTCCCCACCTGCTTCCTCGGCCGTTCTTGACGTTCCCACTGAAGAACCTGCAAAGGCAGAGGAGTCAGTGCTTCATCTCAGTAGGTGCAGGTGAGCGCAGGGCTCAGGACAGGAGCGGCAGTGGCCTTGCGGGCCGCCTGTGATACAGTGAGTGGCGTATCGCCGCTACAGAGGAGCTCGGGATACAGTCAGGGCAGAACGTGAGCACAGCATGTAGGCACAGGCCTGCTGCAGATCCCCCAGGAGGGCACCACTTGGAGAGACACACCTCGGAATCGGTCCCATGCAGTGTTGGAACTGCGCCTGTTTCTCTTGGGTTGAGTCCCTGCTGAAGGAGAGGCTTGTGTTTGGGGGTTATAGTGAATGAAAAGTACACAGAAGCAATACAGTGTGATAGTTACAAGACAGACCGCTGACTTCACACTTACGAGCTGTGTGACCCTGGGCAAATTCCTTAAACTCTCTGGGCTCCCATTGATCTCAGCTGCAAAAGGGAGAGAATAATAGCACGTACCGCCTAGGATGGTGGTGAGTCTGGGAGATGAGAAGGAGTCTGGGAGTTGATATAAAGTGCTGAGCCCAGGACTTGCCACATAGAATATACCAGGTCAGTGTTAAGCACGGTCGTCATTGTAAACACGAATCCCGCTCAGAGCAGGGAGAGGCCGATCCCGCCAGAGGACAGGCGTGACTCGCGCTCAGTTGGTGGCTCACCGCGTGGAATGCCTGGGGACTGTCTCATGCTACTTCAATACTTGCTTTTTAACTTTTGGACTAGTTTGCCTACAATGGATTTGGGATACGCTCCTCGCACATGAGGTGTAGATGTGGGATGTGGAAGGTGGAGAGGCGAGGGGTTGCTGGGCTCAGCCAGCCCCATCCTGACTGGGACCCAAGCCCTCAGAGCTCCCACTCTCCTGCCCCACCCGCCCCGACCACCACTGCCTCCGCAGGAGTCATCCGCAACTGGACGGATGAGCGCCGCCTCCCGCCCTGCACCATCTTCCAGGCCTTCAAGTACTACCTGGACATCACCACGCCGCCCACGCCCCTGCAGCTGCAGCAGTTCGCCTCCCTGGCCACCAGCGAGAAAGAGAAGCAGCAGCTGCTGGTCCTCAGCAAGGTGGGTCCTGGCCCCCTCAACCCCAGGGCGCGCCTTCCACCTGCTCAGCCTGGCCGAGTTGTCTGGTATTACAGCACACGTCCAGCAGATGGCAGTCTTGAGCAGACATTGCTGGTTTCTAGTTCCCAGAAAGTCCATCGGGGTTAGTCCAGCCAGTGGTCGGCAAACTGCGGCTCGCGAGCCACATGCGGCTCTTTGGCCCCTTGAGTGTGGCTCTTCCACAAAATACCACGTGCAGGCATGCACGTACAGTGCGATTGAAACTTCGTGGTCCATGCGCAGAAGTCGTTTTTCGGCCTGGGTGAGTCTATTTTGAAGAAGTACTGTTGATATTTGGCTCTGTTGAATAATGAGTTTGCCGACCACTGGCACCGTCTCGCCTGGTTCTGAGCCCTGATAGGACAAGAGTGACCTCATTGAATCTCAAAGTTCTTGGACCACAGTGGAAACTTCTTAGCCGATGCTTAGAAGAAAAAGAAATGGGGAACCTCACAGTGCCGTTTCACAGCTAAGCCTTTGCCGGTGCAGAGCAGCTGTCGGTAAAGGTTCAAGGTAAAGGAGGGCTCTGGTGGAAAGGTGAAGCCAGCGAACACAGCTGCTCCACCCTGGCTTAGAAACCGAGGGCCCGTCTGCTCCAGCTGCTGCCAAGCCTTGCCCAGTAGGAATCCCACCCAGTGGGGGCTCTCCCCTGGTATGCAAGCCACCAGCAAAGGTGGTTTAGCTTTCTTCTGCTGCCAGAGAGGGGATTGGATGGTGGTCCGAGAGGCAGGGCCCATGCAAGGCGTGCATGTGACTTAGAGACAGATAAGCAAACAGCAGAAGAAACGCCTCTGGGGAGCCGGAAACTGATGGGAGGGGTGGAACAGAAGGGCATTCTTTTCCTCATAAGTTGTGCAGAATTATTTAACTTTTTAAACTGTCCATGTATAACTTTGATTAAAATTTTTAAGTTAATGGGAAGTGTGACTAATAAGAGGAACCAGAACTTGCTCTGCTTCCACAGGATTTAAAAAATATATTTTTAAATATATTTTTATTAATTTCAGAGTGGAAGGGAGAGGGAGAGAGAGAGAAACATCAATGATGAGAGAGAATCATTGATCGGCTGCCTCCTGCACACCCCACGCTGGGGACCGAGCCCGAAACCCGGGCATGTGCCCCGACTGGGAATCGAACTGTGACCTCCTGGTTCATAGGTTGATGTTCAACCCCTAGCCACGCCGGCCAGGCCATTGGATTATTTAAAGTAGAATTGGATGTAACTGTATTTTTCTTTCCAAAGAGCATAAATTACAAGATTGAATGAACAGGATTTTTATTCGGGGATAGACCTGGGTGAGAGAAAATGGGAAGGGGTCAGATGAGTCGGGGAGAACCATCAGACGTCAAAACAAGTCTGACCCCAAGCAAAGGAGCCGGGAGGAGGTGGCATGGACGGGTCCCCGGTCGCACAGGCATTCTCGGGCAAGGCCCGTGCAGGTGGTCATTTGGTGTCGGTGGATGTCACTCAGAGAGCAGCTGCTGGGGCTCTTGGCCCGTTGGGCCCCTGCATTGAAGGTCACTGAAGGTCTGGGAGGCACATCCCCAGTGACGCCACACCCTGTCAATAACCCAAGGATGGCCTCTAGAGACATGGGAAAAGGCGCTGTTATCCAATGCACTGTAATGGCCTTTCCCCTCCTCAAATCTGAGCCTCCTAAACCCAATAAAGGACTGCCCGGGGCAGCTTCTGAGATGTAGGAAGAATCACTCCGGAGCCCCAGGGGACCCTCTGTTCCCTAGTCACAGCTGGGCTTTACTGGCAACATGCCCCCGAGCACGGCCCCCCGCCCCCTGACCTGTCCCTTGGGGACTGTCATTTACCGTCTGAGCATGCTCTCTGCAGAGGCACCTGCACCCTTGCAAACCCACAGATTGCACGTTGGCATTCTATATCTGGGAGTCATGACTCCCTCCACAGTGCCTCTTTTGACCTTCACATACTGCAGGCCAGTGTGCAGGTCAGGAGCCCAGATTCTGGGGCCAGGCTGCCTAGGGTAAGGCTCCACACATTTTCTCCGTAAAAGGGGCCAGGTAGTAAATGTTTGAGGCTCCCAGTCCTTTCAGTCTCTGGCAACCACTCGGCTCTGCTATTGTAGTACAACAGCCTAGACCCGTGGTTGGCAAACTGCGGCTCGAGAGCCACATGCGGCTCTTTGGCCCCTTGAGTGTGGCTCTTCCACAAAATACCGACTTCTGCGCATGGACCACGAAGTTTCAATCGCACTGTACGTGCGCGCCTGTACGTGGTATTTTGTGGTATTTTGTGGAAGAGCCACACTCAAGGGGCCAAAGAGCTGCATGTGGCTCTCAAGCCGCAGTTTGCCCACGGTTTGGGTAAAATATATATGCAGTGAGTGGGTGTGACTGGGTTCCAATCCCACTGTATTTATGGACTTTGAACTTGAAATTTGATTTTTATATCATATTTTAGGTCATAAAATAGTGTTCTATTTTGAATTTTATATCACACTTGAGGCCCGGTGCATGAGATGCATGCACTTAGTAGGGAGGAGATCCCTCAGCCCAGCCTGCGCCCTTTGGCAGTCCGGGAGCCCTTGGGGGAGCAGGCCTAAGCTGTCAGTCAGACATCCTTAGCGCTGCCACAGGGGCGCCCGCCACTGCCACTGTGCTCGCCAGCCGTGAGGCCAGCTTCTGGCTGAGCAGCGCTCCCCCTGTGGAAGCTCACTGACCACCAGGGGGCAGCTCACTGACCACCAAGGGGCAGCTCCTGCCTTGAGCGTCTGCCCCCTGGTGGTCAGTGTGCATCATAGCGACCAGTCGTTCCGCTGTTGGGTCGATTTGCATATTAGCCTTTTATTGATTCTTAGGTCATAAAATAGTATTCTTCAGATGTTTCCCTCAAACCATTTAAACAGACAAAACAGGGGATTAGCCAGATTTGGTTCGCAGGCTGAAGTTTGCCACCCCCTGACCTAGATTCAAAACCCAGAATCACCGTCTTGTCAGCCATGGCACCTCTATGTCCCTTATCTGTAAAATGGGTGTAACAATCATACCTATTTCAGCATGTCCGAGCGAGAGTGAAAACCTGACACAGAGTATTGACAACATTAAGTGTTAGCTATTATTATTTTTATTTGCCTTCTTCCCCGGCCCCTGGAGCCCCCCGTGGAAATCTGTACCTGGAGCTGAGTGCGAGTTCTCCTCTGCCCCTCTCCTTGGCGCAGGGCTTGCAGGAGTACGAGGAATGGAAATGGAGCAAGAACCCCACCATCGTGGAGGTGCTGGAGGAGTTCCAGTCCGTCCAGATGCCTGCCACCCTGCTCCTGACCCAGCTGTCCCTTCTGCAGCCTCGTTACTACTCCATCAGCTCCTCCCCGGACATGTACCCCGAGGAGGTGCACCTCACCGTGGCCATCGTCTCTTACCGCACTGGAGGTGGGCAGAGGTGCTGGGGGAGCCTCCGGGTCTGCGTTCTCCCCCCAGGGGCCTGGCGGCTCTGCCAAATCCCAAGTCCCTGGCTGGAGACCCATGCCCATGGCCAGGAAACTTGGGAAGAAGCAGAGCAGGCACACTGTCCCCTTAGGCAGAGCCAGCTCCATGGGCAGCTAGAAAAGAACAACGCCTTTCCTCAGAGCTGAAGGGGGGGGAGGGCCTCCCTGCTGCCGGTGTCCCGCTGGTCCTAGGTCAGTCAGATAACTGGACATTTTCCTCCCGTACTTTCCCTCCTTGATCAAGCAATCAGAATGCACGGTGCCAGAGAGTTTTCTGAGACTGGGATCCCGGCAGCCCACGGAGAACACACTGACCAAAGCCCTTTCCGTGGCAGGATTTGAATCCGACTCACCCCTCCCCAGCAGCACCCTGGGCACTTTCACAGCTCACAGGCTTCCCCCAGTTGCACCACTTCCTCTTCCCCGTCAGAGGAAGGGATCCGGACCAGGAGCTGCAAGGCAGACGCTCGGCATTGGGGCGGGGGCCTGCTGGACTGAAGGGAGGGGGTACCAATGACCGGAAGCTCGGGGACAGGAGGTGAGCCAGGCCGCCTTGTTTATTCTCCTAGATGGAGAAGGACCAGTTCACCACGGCGTGTGCTCCTCCTGGCTCAACCAGATACAGTCCGACGAAGTGGTCCCCTGTTTCGTGAGAGGGTGAGTGCGAAGGAAGAGCAGTGAGCAGCCACCCCGTCTGCACACTGCTCTCCCGAGCTGCGGTGGGTGGACCAGCCCAAAGGGTTCTAGAGAGACGGCTGGAGCAGACGGGCTCGGCATTCCGCGTCCCTCCCAGGTGTTAAGGCAGCGGGATCACAAGATAGGACCCGCAGAAGCTAAGAAAGCCCTCAGCCAGCGGCGTGTGCCCAGTGCATGTCCTCAGCTCGATGCGGCGGCTGCAGGAGAGCCTCGATGCAGGCTCAGCCTCCATGGCGTTTGCAGACCAGGGGAGGCTCTGTCCAAATTCTAGAGGACACCCCGCTGTCCCCAGTTTCTTAGAAACAGGATCCAAACATCTCTCACCACCATCAATCAGAGCCTTCTCCCAACTCCGTTGTAAAGGACATTCCTGCCTGTGATTCCAGTACCGCCTTGTGCACTTAAAAATCTGTTAAGAGGCTAGATTTCATGCTTAAGTGTTCTTATCACAATCAGTCAACCAAATAAAAAATATTACTCTAAAAAAATTTACCAACAAAGGACATGCCTGAGCGTAGGCCCAATGTAAGTGTCTGCTTTGTCAGTAACTTCTCTCCCTGAACAGTGGCCTTGGCCCGCCACTTTGCTCGGCTGTTGATGGGATGGTCCCCATACCTTCTGGGTGCTTCAGAAATAGAGTCCCAGCCCTGGCCGGTTTGGCTCAGTGGATGGAGCGTCGGCCTGCGGACTCGATTCCAGTCAAGGGCACGTACCTCGGTTGCAGATTCCATCCCTGGCCCTGGTCGGGGCCTATGCAGGAGGCAACCAATCGCTGTGTTTCTGTCTCCCCACTTCCTTACACTCCCTCTAAAAATCAATGGGAAAATATCCTCAGGTGAGGAGAGAGAGAGAGAGAGAGAGAGAGAGAAATAGAATCCTAGCCCAGACTGACTGACCCCTCAGAAACCTGCACCCCTTTTAACACCCCCAGGTGATGCTTGTGTCCCCTGGAGTCGGTGGCTCCCTGGTAATAGGAGCTCTCACGGGAGGTGAAATCAGCGATTCTCAATGGGGGTAAGGGCTAGGGGGTGGGGGACGTTATATTTGGTGATTCTGGAGATGTCTTTGGCTGTCGCTGCTGGAGGGTGTTCCTGGAATTTAGAGGGTGGCGGCCAGGGAGCTGCTCAATAGCCTCCCATGCACAGGATGGTTCCACCACAGGGAAGTATGCACCCCCGAATGTCAGTAGAGCTGAGGTAGGAAACCCCACTGCCCTTTGTGGCTCAGCAACGGGGCTCATTGGGAAATGGAGGGATAGGCAGATTGGGGACTCCCCCAATCTGTGGGACCTCCCACCCTGACGGGGGCACCTGGCCAGGCCGAAGAGCTGCAGGTCCTGCTGTTTTCTACCCAGGACGGCCCTGGTCTCCCTAAGACCCAACTGTTCTTTGTTGTTGTTAACCCTCACCCAAGGATATTTTTTTCCATTGATTTTTAAGAGAGTGAAAGGGAGAGGGGAGAGAGAGACACACACACACACACACACACACACACACACACACTGATTGGTTGCCTCCCACACTCGCCACGACCAGGGTCGGGGACCAAACCTGCAACCCAGGTACTTGACCAGGACTTGAACCCATGATCCTTCGGTGTGCGTGCCGGCGCTCTAACCACTGAGCACACTGGCCAGGGTGACCCAGCTATTCTTCGTCACAGTTGACCCAGCGAGCCTTCTGACCTCCTCTTCCTTGTCCAGAGCGCCCGGCTTCCACCTGCCCCGAAACCCCCAAGTGCCCTGCATCCTGATTGGCCCGGGCACCGGCATCGCCCCTTTCCGAAGCTTCTGGCAGCAGCGGCAGTTTGATATCCAGCACAAAGGTGGGTCCTGCCCAGTAGCCACGGGGTGACCGTTATCTCTCCAGGGCCTCGCCGCCCAGGAGGGCTGGGGAGCATCGCTCCGACCCGACCCCTGGTGCCATGCCCAGGACCTGCCCGAACGAATCTTCCCCTCGGCTTATGCTTGGGCCCGAAAGCCCCATCTCTTGGGCGGTTAAGATCGGACCCTCCTTACAATTCAGCCCTGGAGGGTAAGCAGGAAGCCTTCTCACGTGGCGTGTTGATGGGATTCCTCAGAGGAGAGAGCCACAGTGTTGGCGTCAGACAGGGATTTAATGAGCATCTAGTAAATGCTGAACACTGCGGTAGGCGCTGGAGGCATCCAGTGACCAAGACAGAAACAACCTAGAAAAAACAGCCGCCCCAGGGAACTGTCGCTCGGGTAGAATAGCTAACATGTGTACTGTATTCGCTTTCTACCAGGCGCCGTTCTGGGGTCTGACATTCATGTCTAACAATAACCCTATCAGGCAGTTGCTGTGGTTGTTCCTGTTCTGTACGTGGGGGAAACGGAGACAGAGAAGGTTAAGCAAGTTGCTTGTTGTCAGACAGAGCTGGGGTTGGGAACCCAGGCTGTGTAGCTCCAGAGTCTGGGGTCTTAGCCCCTCCCAGGGGGTCAGGAGGGAAGATTGAGACTCAGAGAGGGAGGCCTGCCAAATCTGAGCGCACTTCACCTACCTCCGTGTGTGGTGTGTGTGTGTGTGTGTGTGTCCTGCCCCTGTGTTCATGTCCCCTCTAGCTCAGCGGTTCTCAACCTTTGGGTCGCGACCCCTTTGGGGGTCGAACGACCCTTTCACAGGGGGTCTCCCTAAGACCATCGGAAAACACATATATAATTACATATTGTTTTTGTGATTAATCACTATGCTTTAATTATGTTCAATGTGTAACAATGAAATTGGGGGTCACCACAACATGAGGAACTGTATGAAAGGGTCGCGGCATTAGGAAGGTTGAGAACCACTGCTCTAGCTCCATGGCACCCGCTGGGGTTCCCAGTACCCACCCCCAGCACCACCAGCCACCCCCCAATCAGGCACCAGGCGGTGGGTGACATGAGGTCTTCTGGTCCCAGGAATGAGTCCCTGCCCCATGATCCTGGTCTTCGGGTGCCGGCAGTCCAAGGTGGACCACATCTACAGGGAGGAGACCCTGCAGGCCCGGAGCGCGGGGGTCTTCAGAGAACTGTACACGGCCTACTCCCGGGAGCCCGACAGACCAAAGGTGACCCTGCTCCGTCCCGGCCCCACCCCGACCAGGAAAAACGTTCTGATGTGAATTTAAAAAAATATTTGATGGCCCAGAAGAGACCCTACCAGTCCAAATGGAAACGGCCACAGGCCTGGAGCATGCTCCTGCAGGGTCTGGGGTAGGCCTGGGGGGGGGGGGTCCCGGGAAGGAGGCCAGGACAGCTGGGGTGAGGGGGAAACTCAGAGAGTCTGGACCGTGGCCATTTGACAGCTGCTGTAGAAATACATCAACATCAGGACAGCCAAGCCAGGTGGATAGCTGGATGTCAGCCTCGGCCGAGGGGAGTTTCCTGGGCCAGAGGCATCGGAACAGCCTGTAGCAAACCCCCGGGGGCCCCTCCCATCCCCTTAGCCCACTTCCTGCTCCAGCTGCAGCAGCTGGCTTTGCACAGGTGCGGCCTGGCAGCCCTCACCTATCCCGCCTCTTGCTGTCCGCCTGGGGCTGCTCTGTCAGCATAGGACACCTGTGAGAACCCCACTCCTGCCAGGCCAGCGTGGCTCAGTGGTTGAGCGTCGACCTATGAACCAGGAGGTCACGGTTCGATTCCCAGTCTGGGCACATGGCCGGGTTGCGGGCTCGATCCCCAGTAGGGGGCGTGCAGGAGGCAGCCAGCCGATCAATGATTCTCTCATCATTGATGTTTCTATCTCTCACTCTCTCTGCCTTCCTCTCTAAAATCAATAAACAATATATATATTTAAAAAAAAAACCTGCTCCAGCAAGTATATGGCGTCCACACCCCATGGGGGACCCCTGATGGTTGGAGAGAGGAGCAGGTAGACAATGCTCCCCTTGAATGCCGCTCCAGGGGAAGTTCTGGGGGCCTCCGCAGAGCGAAGTGCAAAGTGGGGAGCCGCTCCTTCCCACAGCCTCGGGTGGGCTGTCCTCCCGGCTTCACTCCCGAAACCCCAGAGATCACCCCCTGCCCGCAGCCCCCACGTCGGCTCTGCTCCCCGGGGCTCACGCAGCCCCTGCTCCCCACAGAAGTACGTGCAGGACATCCTGCAGGAGAAGCTGGCGGAACCGCTGTACCAGGCCCTGAAGGAGCAGGGGGGCCACATCTATGTGTGCGGGGACGTCACCATGGCCGCCGACGTCCTCAAGGCCATCCAGCGCATCATGGCGCAGCAGGGGAAGCTCTCGGTGGAGGACGCGGGCGTGTTCATCAGCCGGCTGAGGGTGAGTGGCGGCCGGCCTCCCGCTTCCCGGCATCCGGGGTCCTGTCCCGATGCCTGGGGAGCCATCACGACATCCCTGCTCCCACTTGGCCCTCTCTGGCTAGGGTAGAGGATGGGGGTGTCCCAACCCCCGCGGAGAGAGGAGGAAGGAGGGCGGCGTGCAGGGGAGCAGGTGGGATGTGGCTGGGGCTGTGGTGTGGCGGCAGCAGCGGGCAGGTCACTGGGAGAGGGCAGGGGGTGCGGAGGCTCCCGTGTGACCTCCCCTCCTGTCCTCGGGATCCACAGAGCAGCAGCCTGTTCCTGGACGGACCCAGGGTGCTCATTGTCACCCGGGCTGGGGACACCAAGGGCACTCCCGGGGGTGCTGGAGCCGCGTTTCTTTCGGGCCTATTTTCTTTCGGGAGAGTTCATCCTGGGTGTCCACGTGCCCGCCCTCTCCGTGCCCGGGGCTGGGCTCTGAGGGCTGTTCCCTGACTGTTTCCGTCCCCAGGATGACAACCGCTACCATGAGGATATCTTCGGGGTCACCCTGCGAACGTATGAAGTGACCAACCGCCTTAGGTCTGAATCCTCGATCGCCTTCATTGAGGAGAGCAAAAAGGACACGGACGAGTAAGCTGGCCCCGTCCCGCGGGCAAGGGGTGGCAGCGCCCTCCCTCTGGTCCTGGTGGGCAGGGGCGTCTGACCTCAGGAACGGGGCCTTCCCCCGGAGGGGTCCCTGAGACGCGGCAGCAGCGCCGGGGAGCAGTTAGAAACGCACCCTCCAGGCCCAGGCCTGCAGAGCCTAGGCCTCGGGGTGCAGTGGGTCCTCTGGGAGACTCTGGGCCCTCAAGTGTGGGAACCCCAGCTTCCGCCTGGGGCGCCCCCTAGTGGAACGACGGCTCAGGGCTCTGCAACGTTGTCTTGGGGTTCACACCACGTCTCTCACCCCCCAGAATTGCTGGGAACGCTCTCATTGATGCAGATTCCAAGTGGCATTCTTTTGACAGCTTCACGCCTCCCTTAGAAATGGCTGGGAACAGTCTGGGGCACCCAAGGCCGGGATTGAGTCTCCCTGTTTGCGGCTGACCACAGTGCCATGACACGCCAGCCTGAGTGTAACCTCACGCCCCCCTTCCCCGCCCCAGAACGCCTCGCCCCCCCTCCCTGGGCCCTGGAATTTCGGTGGCAGAGGGCACACGCTCCGGCTCTCACATACCCTCGCGGACTTCCCCTGACCAGCCGGCCGTCTCGAAAACACACTCGTGTGTCCAGGAGGCTCACGTTATTGCTGTGACCATCGCACTCCTGGGGCTGTCACTGAGCCCCTTACATGTCCCTCCTCCATTCGTTCGGTCATTCCTTGCAGGTCCCCGCTGGGTGCCAGGTGCAGGCAGAGAGAGCAGGGAAGGCGGTGCGGAGTGTAGGTGGCCGTCCCCGTGTCCCTAAGCTCACAGCGGCCTGGCGCGGCGGCGCTAACTCCTCCCCACTTCTTCTCCCACAGGGTCTTTAGCTCCTAACCGGAGGCTCTTGCCCCCACGGACGGCAGGGGTCCGCCCCATGCGCTCCGGCAGGGGTGGCGGCAGGTTCCCTAAGCGTGGACACCAATGAACCTTTCCCACGGGACCCGCGCGGCCCCGCTCTGCCTCGTCCTGTCGCCGCCTGTCCTGGCTTTCCTCTCCCGGGTCCTCGCCTCTCCGTGCGTCCTTGGCCTCCTGGGGTTTCCTCCTGAGTCTTCCTGCTGCGATGCGACGCCTTTATGCTCCTCGGCGGCTCTGACAGCACTGCCCGCCCCTCCTGACAAGGACAAGTCCACGCTCGTGGAGGCCCTGGGACGTGGGGCGCTCGCGGCGGGCTTGTTTTCGGGGGTTCCCCTGGGAGAGGCGCAGGGATCACACGGAAGAGTCTTCTGAGCCAGTCTCCCAGCGCTGAAGCCCCACCTTATTACCTTGTACGGGATGACGTCTGGTCGTGCGTGTGATGGGCCTGGGTCTCCGTCAGGCCCCTTGCCCACGTGAGCGCGTTGCCTGCAGACCCCGGGGCCCAAGAACCACGGCCCAGCCTGCGTTGGCTGCTCACGCGTCCTGCACTGAGGGACTGCGCCCGGGTCCCTGTAACCCTTGGGAGCACCCTAATGGTCCCGGAAATAAAGGGTCCGGGCACGGAGAGGGCATGTGAGGATTTAGGGGGAAATCTCCAAGGAAAGGGGAATCAGAGGACGAGATGCATTTAGGTTCTTGCACCAGGAGGGCACCCTGGCTGGGAAACTCACCCATCTATTGGATTGGGCAACCCTCCCCCAGCCCGCCCACCCCAGGCCCTCCCAGAGCAAACCCCTCACCCCCACGAGGCCAGAAGTGATGCTGTCCAAGGGAACGGGCTGCAAATAGGAATCTTCTCATCTCGGCCACCCCCTGACTTTGGACAAGTCTCTGGTCCTCGGGTTCCCCTTGCTGTAATGTTATAAAGCTAAGAAGTATGAATGGATGCAACTTTGAAGTTGTGAAGACTGGAAACAATATTAAGGAACAGTGTCATCGTTCTGCGTTTATTCCCCCAAATAGGGCTGCTGCTGCACCCTCGGCGGGAAAATCCCGGAAGCCCATCAGGGTGGATCAGGTTGGGCAGGAGCACCGCCTGGCTTCCTCTGCAGGCCCACAGCCCAGGGTGGGAAGGGCCTGGCCTCCAAGCTGTAGGCCTTCTACAAGGCATCCCCCACACGTTTAACCTGCTAAAATAACGGCGACAAATAAATTGTCCTCGACAGATTTCTCTTTAAATGGGCAGCAGAGTCGTTAGCAGGAATCAGAGCTGGAACAAGTTCTCCCTGGCAGGCAAGCCGCGGCGTTGACCCTCTCAGACTCAACGGCATGGGAGGCAGGGAAGCGCTACAGATCAACGCAGGCAGCACCCACCAGAGAGCCGAAAAGTCCCAGTGCCCACCCCCCAGGGCCTGGCTCCGGGTCTGCTCTGGGCTGGGCCCCCAGGGTTGGGAGGGAAGCATTCAGCCAGGCCCATCCTTCTGTTGGGTTTGGTCACAGAAAGACAGCCCAATGGGCATTTCTTTCTCAATGCTCCGTGTGTGTTTGGGGGGTGGGGGTACCAAAGAGAAAGTGCCCCGGCCTCTTTGGAAAGGCCTTAGGGTGGGGGTGCCAAAGAGGTGTTGGGGAGGACACCCTCCAAGACGCTTTAAGTCAAAGGGCAAATTATATCTCGTCTTTGTCCACCCTCCCTGGGAGCTCCCACTGGTGCCCCGTCCCCTGGGACAGAGCTGTGACCTCCCCGCCTTCCTTGAGTCCTGTTTGCTCCTGCTCAGACTTCCAAGGCCATAGAGACCAAACGCTCAGCATGCTCCCCGACCCTTTCGAACCTGGAGGGAAGCCCCTCGTAAAGCCCGGCTCTCCTGCAAACACGATTCTGTCTCCTAGCAGCTTTCTTTCCAACCCCCTGAGCTTTTTGGAGGTACCGCCTGCGATGTCACTAGCTCCCCGGGGAATGTGTCCAACCTCCGTCAAATCAAGCTTTATGCACGAATGCTTTTCCGTCGCCGAATAAAGACTTGTGAGCACTCTGTGCCAGGCGCCTTCCTCCTCTCTATCCGCGTCACGTCCATGGAGAAGCAGGCAGGCAGAGGGAACCGTCCTCTAGTTTTATCAGGGAGGCCAAAGAAATGATTAGCTAGCCAGGATTCATCTTTCTTCCCGGAAGGATTTTTTCCTTTTTAAGTAAACGCCTTTCCGCCGCAACACAGCTGCTTCCCAGCTCCTGGCTCGCAGACGGCAGACTAGACTGATGTGTTTCTCTCCTTTGTCGGAATCCCTGACACCAAAAGCCTGGCTGTAATGAGCCTTTCAAGGGATGGAGAGGGAGTCCTCGAGGGTTTAGCTCTGATCCAGGGTGTGTAAGTGCTGCCCTCTTGTGGCGGGTTTTCGCTTGGTCCCAGTAACCAAAAATTTGGTTTAGCAAGAGGTGAGCCAAAGTAGGGTTGGCTGGGCACTTGGGGGTCACCCAGTGTACAGACCTTTGATTTCCCTCTCCCCAGTGAGTTGGCCTGCAGTCACTGCAACCCCATTTAAACAAAAGGTCTAAACACGAGTTTGGCGGGAGGAATGGGTCATCCCTGAACAGTCACGCTCTCCAGTCGTTACTCAGAATCCAATTCCCGCACCTTGGTTTCTATGGAGTGAGACCCCAGGTAGCTTTCTTTTGGGGGAGAAGGCTTCAGACCCACCAACATGGAGTTTTGGAAGCTGGCCTGAGTTCATGCGGCCCGGTAGAGCTTGGCCTCTTGTTTTTAGCTGGCCGTGTTTACTTGTAGATTTCCTCTCCACCGCCTGTGTCTCCACATGAGCCCCTGCTCCTGCAGACGGCTGTGGGCTGGCGGATTCCTCACCTTTCTGAGGCTGCATAGTCACCTGTAGGACAAGGTGGATTACCTGAGATACTGCCCCTAAGATGCCCGTTTATAGTACCTGACCCACTGGGAGCGATCACCCTTTATTTTTTCACTTAATCTATAGCATTCTTGCTTCTCCAGAATGCAGAAGGCATGGTACGGTGTACAGAGCAAAACACAGTTCCCCCTTTTTTTTTTAAATATATTTTATTGATTTTTTACAGAGAGGGAGAGAGATAGAGAGTCAGAAACATCGATGAGAGAGAAACATCGATCAGCTGCCTCCTGCACATCTCCCACTGGGGATGTGCCCGCAACCCAGGTACATGCCCTTGACCGGAATCGAACCTGGGACCTTTCAGTCCGCAGGCCGACGCTCTATCCACTGAGCCAAACCAGTTTCGGCCACAGTTCCCCTTTTATAGGAGGGTAGAATCAGTATGCAGAGGCACGATTCTTAGAATCAACATAAATGTCTGGGGTTCGAGAAGTGGGTGGATTCCACCAGTAGGTTTGGGAGACACGTGTGCCACAGAGTAGGAAGGGTGAGAGCAAAGCCAAGGACCAGGGTGGGGCATGGAGGGTACGTGGGGGATGGTGTCAGAGATACCCAGCTTTGGAAGGCTGTGGAGGGTCGGAATGGCAAGAGAGACGCTGGGAAGGTGGGCAGGGACCAGGCGGTGGGGAGGGGAGAGTGGCATGTTAAGGAATTTTGACTTTATTTGGTAGGCAATGGGGAGTCCTTAAGATTGTTTTTAAAAGGGAAGAATAAGGTGGTGATTGGAGTTAAGCCTGGAAAAGAATGTTCTGGCTGCAGCGCAGAGCTCGGAGGGCCGGCCGGTTGACCTCTGGGCAGGTGATTGCAGGAACAAAGGCTGGAACGAGGAAAGAAACAGATATGGTGATACAAGAGGTTCCAGGGGCTGAATCAACAGGACTGGATACCCATCTGTCCTGAAAGATGAAAACAAGAAAGCCGAGATTCTGGCCTCTCAGCTGAGACGGGGCTCGGGAGATAACACAGGCCCCGGAGAAAGATGAGTTCGCGATGCGGACGTGACAGCCAGCTTCTCCCGGGAGTCCACAGGGTCAGCCCTCCCCAGGGTCAGCCGGGCTCGGCCGCACGGAGAGAGCTGCCCCCCCGCCCCCCGCCCGGCCTGGAGACCGTGGCCTCTGAACAGAGGGCTTTCCTGCCAGACAGGCTCTCAGCGGCCACCTGCTTGGGGCCCCAAAAAGAGGTC